CAATCCAACACATGCAAAGACCACACCCAAAAAACCAGGTGGAGGGGAACAGAGGCCTTTAGTTGACAGCCAGCATCAACCACGAGACCCTTCAGATTTCAGACTGGCCTCTGAGCTGAGAGCAGAGACAAGGTATCCCTGTTGTGCTCTATCCAAATTCCTGCCCCAAAGCATAACAAATGGTTATTTCAGGTTACTAGTGAACTGGCAAAGTTAGTATCTTGAGGATAATGTTGAAGGAGGCAATACTGAGGCGGACACTCTTGGTTCTGAAAACAGTAACATGCAGAGAGGTCCTAAGCTCCACAAGAGGGAGCAGAAAAAGTGTGCCAGTAAGAATGAGAAAAAGGAAGGTGTGAGACAATGGTGAAGAACTTTGCCAATTCACAACACTGCCTATGGGGTACCTCAACCAGGTGAAGGCAAACGAGGAGCAGTTTATGAGTTAGGGAACACTCGCTGCTTAAAAATGCTGGATGGGACTGATGGAGACTAAACACACACAGACACACAAACACGCACCACCAACTTTCCTATTAAGGACCTTTGTTTCTCGGATTCATAAACTAAGATGTCACTTGCACCACATAAAATGCTTTTGAATCAGCTAAGTGGTGCTTTAATAGAACTCAAAATGAGCTTTGTTATAGGGGTAAGGCAAGGTGATACAGATTTATTAAAACCAAATTCTACTTGTATTTGAAAGTGAAAGAGACTTGGTAAAGAAATACTACCTTCTTTAGCGTCTCTTTCCTTTCTCATGAAAATGTCTTTCATATAAAGTTCTACTGAAAAGAGTACATTTCTGTCTCTACACAAATCTATAGGCCTTCCAGGCAGAAGAAAAATAAGTAGAAGAATCTCATTCAACACACTTCCTCCATGCTCAAAGCTGTTTTATTGTAAAGATAGAGAAAGTGTGTATATCATTTCCAAATTAGAATTCATTCAGCAAATATTTATGGAGGGTCTTCTAGGTTCGGGCATTGTTCTAGAAACAGACAACTTATTTACCTATAAAGGCAGTGCATTTGAGAGGTAACATGGTCGAAAGGAATTACTATCCAATCTGATCCCATCTCCTGCATCTTTCCCAATCTCCCTCTATATGACCTGATGGTTAAAGAGGTCTGTCCCAATATTTATGTTTTCAGCCTCTTTTGTTTCCCTTGCTTTTCCATCTCTCCTCTTTCCCTCCCCATATGCTTACTATGTATATCAAGACTGAGCTCAAGGGTCACCTTTCACTTACGTCTTGTCTGCTACCCTCATGCCACTGCTTCCTTTGAAGACCTGAAAAACTTAGTTTCCCTATACTCTAGGCCCATCTCTGACTATGCTCCCCATTCCCCATCACATTTCCTACTCTGGCCACACTGGACCATGCCCAGTTCCACAAATGAGCCATGTTCTTTCCTGACTCAAGGTCTCCACACCTGAGTGTGGGATACCTTTTCCACCACCCCAAAATGATCTCCCCATACTCGACATCTTTTTTTAGTCTCACCGTATTTTGATTTATGTAAACTGAACTGTTATTTGCAGCACCTCTGCTATGTGCCGGGCATGTGGAATAGTCCTGGGAATGCGGCTATAAATGAAACAGTTGACGTCCCTGCACTCTCGGAGTTTGTATTCTGGTAAAGAGAGACATTAAGTAAGTAAATAAGAAAAAAACAGGAAAATACAAGCTAGGGATAAGGGCCCCTGCTTCTCAGTTTCCTTTGCTGGATATTCCTTATCACCCCAACCTCTAAATGGAGCATGATTTTTTTTTTTTTTTTTTGAGACAGGATCTCACTCTATTGCCTAGGCTGGAGTGCAGAGGCACAGTCTTGGCTCACTGTAACTAACCTCTACCTCCTGGGTTCAGGCAATTCTTGTGCCTCAGCCACCCAAGAAGCTGGAATTACACACCTGCAACACCAAACCAGGCTAATTTGTATATTTTTAGTAGAGACGGGGTTTCACCATGTTGGCCACACTGGTCTCAAACTCCTGGCCTCAAGTGACCCGCTCCCTTCAGCCTCCCAAAGTACTGGGATTATAGGCATGAGCCACTGTGCCGGCTCTATACTTACCCCATAGGTGATCTCATCTAATTCCAAGGACTTAAAACTGTATTTGCCTCAAAATAATTAGGAGAAAGGAGGTAATATCAGTGAAACCAGACTACCCATGAGTTAAGAATTACTGAAGTTGATGATGAGTACATGGGGATTCATCATACAATTTTCCCTACTTCTATAAATATTTGCCTACTCCTTATTTTCTCACACTATCAATTACTTGTTCAGGAAATTCTATCAGCTTTGCTTTTTTTTTTTTCTTTGAGAAGGAGTCTCATTCTGTCCCCAGGCTGGAGTGCAGGGGCGTGATCTCGGCTCACTGCAACCTCCACCTCCCAGGTTCAAGCGATTTCTCTGCCTGCCTCAGCTCCCGAGTAGCTGGGACTACAGGTGCATGCCACCATGCCCAGCTAATTTTTGTATTTTTTTAAGTAGAGAGGGGTTTCACTATGTTGGCCAGGATGGCCTCAATCTTGTGACCTCGTGATCCACCTACCTCAGCCTCTTGAAGTACTGGGATTGCAGGCGTGAGCCACCATACCAGGCCAGCTTTACTTCTGAAGTACAATCCAATCAGATCACTTTGCACCACCATCTTTACTAACACCTTAGTTCAAGCTACCATAATTTGTAGCTTGAATCACTGCAACAGCCAAACTATCTTCCTCCTATGGAAGCCAGAGAAGTAACTATTAAAAAATAAGTCAGATTGGCTCTGCACAGTGGCTCATGCCTGTAATCCCAGCATTTTGGGAGGCTGGGGGGTGGGGGGGTCACTTGAGGCCAGGAGTTCGAGATCAGCCTGGCCAACATGGTGAAACCCCATTTCTACTAAATATACACAAATTAGCCTGGTGTGGTGGTGAATGTCTGTAATTCCAGCTACTTGGGTGCCTGAGGCATGAGAATTGTTTGAACCCAGGAGGCAGAGGTTACAATGAGCCAAGACTGTGCCACTGCACACTCCAGCCTGGGCAACAGGGTGAGACCCTGTCTCCACAAAAAAAAAAAAAAAAAAAAAAAAAAAAATCATACTCCAATGACTTCTCAATTTACTCGGATAATGTCCAAAGTCCTTACAGAGCAACTTCCCCCTACCTCTTTAATCTTATCTACTACTCTCTGTTGCTCATTACCTATGATGGCACTGTTTGTGGCTATTCTTGAATGGGTCATTAGAATATCAGCGCCAAGAGAGCAGGGGTTTTCCTTTGTTCATCTCTACATCCTCAGCATTCAGAACTCTGCCTGGCACCTAGGAGGTGCTAAATGCTAAGAAATACAATATTCGTTGAATGAAATAAAACAGCGATTGGGTAACCAAAGAAGGCCTCACTAAGGACCTGATAATTGAGCTGAGACCTAAGTGACCAAGAGCCAGTCACGCAGATTTAGAACCAGAGACCTTCAGGTAAAAGAAATAGTATAAGTTCCTAAAAGCTTGACATACTAGAAGAACAGAAAGAGTGGTTGGAGCATGGTGAGGAGAGCTAGAACCCCATAGGCCATGGTATGGAGTTTGCAATGGAAAGTCGTAAAACACTTTTTTTTTTTTTTTAAAAAAAACAGGGTCTCACTTTGCCACCCAGGCTTGAGTGCAGTGGTGCAATCACGACTTACTTCATTCTCGATCTCTTGGGTTCAAGGGATCCTCCCACTTCGGCCGTCTACTCTCCCCCTGAGTAACTGGGACTACAGACGCTAAACACTAGGGCCGGCTATTTTTTTCTTTTTTGTAAAGACGGGGTTCGCCTCGTTGCCCAGGTGGGTCTTGAACTCCTGGGCTCAAGAGATCCGCCCGCCTCAGCCTCCCAAAGTGTTGGGATTACAGGCGTTAGCTACCGCGCCCGGCCCTCACAGGAGTCTTTTAAACAAAGCAGTAACACGATCTGATTCTGGATTTGTGTTGAAAGCAGAGCACGCAGGGTTTACAAATAATTGTTATGTAAAAAGTGAGGGAAAAGAACTAAGACTCCCTAAACTTTTGGATTAAGCAGCCGATCGATGACGTAATTTACTGAAATAAGACTGAAAGAGAATTAGTCCGAGAGAGTGAAATTTCAGATGGCCATGGACAAAGTAGTTAGGTAAGCCAGTATGGTGCTCAGAAAGACATCAGAGGAGGGAATATTCACACACAGGCATATAGGCACCCAATAATCCTTGAAGACAGATGACCAAAAATCATTTGTTCCTTCTTAAGCAAACACTTAGGTAAAATGACGGCAAGCCGGCAAGCCAGGAGCAGCAGGTAGCAGCAAGATCGCGTCAGGACCGGCCTTTCCATCCCAGGGGGCGGCACGTGCGGCACCGCCTCCCGCCCAGGCCCCACCCCGCGTGCACAGCTTGGCCCAACCTCTCCGCCCACTTTTCCCAAGGCGGCAAAAGCCGGAAAGTGGGAGTAGATGAGCACATACCCGCCAGTCCTGATCCTTTCTTAGGTCTCTCTTCCCTGCACCATCTCCACTTAGCAATTGTCACTGCTTACTGCCCTCGAGTCTGGCCCCCGCCGCATGTTTGGGTAGAAAAGCTCGCTCGTGACGTCACCAAGCTCCGGAAGTCTCCTGGACGTCGGCGCAAGGGCCGCCGGGAAAACCATTGAGACGCCCCGAACGACCGGCCTGAACGGAGGCGGGGACTAGAGCGGCCGCCGGCACCACTTGCCTTCAGACGTACGACGACCTTGGCCCGGGGGCTCTGACTGGTCGAAGCGGCGGCACTTTCTGCGTGGCCCCGGAAGGACATAGAGCGGAAGGCGGGAGAAAGAAGCAGCCGGCAGGCGGAGGCAGCCCGAAGGGGGCGGTTGCGTGCGGGCCCGACGCCCGTAGCCCTCTGAGCTTCTGCACGCCGGCTCTTTCGGCTCTGAGCTCACCCAGCGGCCTCTTCTGCGCTTCCGGGAGCCGTGGCGAGCGACTGCGCCTGCGTGCCGGCGCATCCGCGCGCTTCGCAGCTGCCCTCGCGCCGGCCAACGGCCGGGCAGTTCCTGCAGGGCTTACCGCCTGGCCTCTCGGCTCCGCGGCGCACCGTAGGGCGGCATGTCGCGGCGGCGGCACAGCGACGAGAACGACGGTGAGTGCCCGCGGCCCTGCCGCGGAGGCCGCTCCCGGTTGGGAGCCGAGGTTCGGAATCTTTGGGTGTCCAGGGAAGAGAAGGGAACCGCTTTTTCCCGGGAGCGTGCGGGGAGCCGCGGAGGGAAAGAGTGGAATACAGTACCGGTGTGGCCGGAAGGCTTCTGGAAAGCGACTTCTCCCCCGCCCCAGTTCCTTGAGTCATGGGCCGATCCTGGGAAAGGAGGCCTGGTGAACCCCACGGATAGACCCTTGGTCTCTAAGGACGCTTCAGAGCTTGGTCCTTAGCACCACGGAGCAGGGAAGCACACCTGTGTCTGTACTGGTGCCTCTTAGGGACCCACTGACCCCAGTGTCTCGTTTTAACCTTCAAAGCTGCACCTGAAAAGGGCTCGAAAAAATTCACTGAAGGAAAGGACTGAGATCTCATGAATTGCAGTCTGAACTCTGTTCCGGTACTGGTCATCTGTTGATTATCCTTCTTTCAAACTGCGAAGAAGGAATATTGTCTTATTACGCCCAAGAGGTCCCTAATAGACACAGGTTACGGCAGATTTTGAACTGGCCGCACGCACATTTCCCTCGTGTGAGAAAGAGTGCTAGAAAACTAACTCAGGCCTCTGAGAGAGTTAGGGGTTTCTATCTCCATTTGGATGATTGTGCTCGTGGAGGTCAAGGTGTTGCCTTCATAAAAACGGACTAATTCTAGTTTAAACAAAAGATGCTTACATTACACATAAGCCTTACAATCGGTCATAAATACAAATCCACACACACAAAAAGTGAAACTTAGAGTAATTATGTTATTAACATTTTTGTGTGTTAATCTTTGAAGAGAGTGTATAGTAACGTTTAAGAGGTGAGACTTTGGAACCAGAGGGTTTAGGTTCAAAGCCAGACGTTACCGTTTGCTTTGTGATCTTGTCCAGGTTATGTAATCTCCTTAAACTTTAGTAATATAGAAGCAATGATACTTACATTTTCTGGGGTTTGTGAAGGTTAAATGAGACGTCAGCAGTGGCCCACGATGATGATTTATCATTTGCCAATGCTTAAGAGGTGGTAAACATTAGCATATGCTGTCATTGTAGGGGGAAAAAGCGTAACAGACATTTTAAATTTTCTCTACTCTCTGCTTGGGTGTTGCGGCAGTTGAGGTGGAAGCAGAATCTCATGCATTTAGTTTTAATAGGGAAGCACCAGATTTCTATAAAGGCATGGCTTGAAGGGTTATTCTAGTCCAGCCTTATCATCGGACGCCTAAGGATATAGAGACTGAGTATAACTAACACGGAGAGACAGCTGTCAGTTCCAAGACACCAGGAAGAGCAAGTCCATTCCAGGGCTCTCTTCGCTACACAGGTATAAATTATGCTGCGTGCTTTGATTTCCACCACAAGAGGCTTCTTGTGTAACCTCTGTACAAGGCACAGAAAATACATTTCCCCTTTATTTGTGTGTGTGAGACAGAGTGTCACTGTCAGGCCGGATTGCAGTGGCTCAATCTCGGCTCACTGTAACCTCTGCCTCTCAGGCCTAAGTATCCTCCCACCTCAGCCTCCTGAGTAGCTGGGACCTCAGGTGCAGGCCATCATGCCCGGCCGTTTTTTTTTTTTTTTTTTACTTTTGTATTTTTCGTAGAGATGGGGTGTTGCCACGTTGCCCAGGCTGGTCTTCAACTCCTGAGCTCAGGACGATCCACCCACCTTGGCTTCCCAAAGTGCTGGGATTACAGATGTGAGCTACTGCGCCCGACAAAAATACAGTTTTCATTTGCTTTGTTATTAATCAAAAGCGAATATATTTCCCGAGTCATTACTTGGGGGTTGGATAACTTGAATCTTTTGTCCTTTCCATTTTCTTTATTGTTCTTATGCTTTTTCTCCCTTATCGGGAATCCCTAAGGAGAGAGAAAATGTCACTTTCGGGCATCCTAGAGAATTGGAATGCAAATATGTAGAAAAATAACTTTTGCTTTGGTTATTGGGAGACTGACATAACTTTCTTGGAGTTGGCTTTAACACCAGCTGGCAGCCAAGTCACTGTCCATTTGTGTCTTGCTGGACAACCTCAGAGTAAGTAAGACAAAGAAGCAAAACAAGGCATTCATTAAGCAAAGGTTAATACGGTGGGTATTTTAGTATGGGAGAGGCAGATACAGTTCATACTTCATAATACGGCAAATCTGAAATTTCTGTAAATCGCCACAATTTGGGTAACAGTCAGCTGGAGTTGACCCTACACAGTGATCTGAATCAGATAATTTGGATGCTTTCCTTTTAGCTTCCAAATAATCCAACTAATGAAAATAGTTAAACATCTATTTTCTAAAAAATAAGACATCTTAGAAGCTTAAGTATTATAGAAGGCTATTTTATAATAGGCTAGGAATTATAGTCAGAATTAAATAGATGCATCTGAGCATTTCTGGATAATTGTCAGCTCCTGTCTATCACTGCCCTGACTTTCCATATGCTTGACTCTATATATAGAAAGAGTATATATGTAATATATTATAATAGAATATGTAATATATTTATATTTATATATTACATATAAATTTATATACAATGTATACTTTATATAACATACTTTAGAGAGTCAAGCATACAGAAAGTTGTGTGTATATATATATATGTGTGTGTGTGTGTGTGTATAATATATGTATATGTATATGTATAAAATCATTTATTCAACAAATGCTTAACTGCCAAGCCCTGTCCTAATTACTTGCAATACAGCAATGGACAATATAAAGATAGAGCCTCCCCTCTAGAGTAGAGAGAAGACAGTCAAGTACAGTGTATAGTGACAGATGCTATGGAGAAAAGTAATATAAGGTAAAGGGAGTAGAGATTTCTGTGAGGGAGAAGTTATTGCTTTATGTAGGTTGGGTAGAGAAGGCCTCAATGTGAATGGCATTTGGTCAAAGACTTGCAGAAGGTAAGGTAGCAGCCATATATAGCTGTATGGGCAAGAGCAGTGATCCAAACAAAGGGAACCATTGGTGCAAAAGCCTTAAAGCTATAGCGTTCTTGTCATGTTCACAGAACAGCAAGGAGACCAGTGATGCTGGAGCATAGTGAATGAAGGGTAAGTTGTAGGAGATAAGGTTAGAGAGATAGCCAAGGGTCACATCTTATAGAGATATTATAAAAAAGTCTCAACATCTACAGTGTACCCTTATAAAATTAGGATTGCCTTATATAGGGGAAATTTATTTGGTTTATTAAGATCCTTTCAGATGGATTTTATATGTGCTTCTCTATACTAGCCAAATCTTCCAGAGTGAAATGGTAATGTATATCTTTAATTTACATTTTAAAACTTTTACATAGTTAAATTTTAATAAAAAGTCTGTTCTTGCTTTGGGAACTACCATAGATATGTTTTCTTCAGGGTACATGAAAACATTGAGCTAATTCCCAAAATTGTATTCATATTGTTTTATTTCATTTCCTTGTTCCCTTACCCAGGTTCTCTTCTGAGTTCAATATCATGTTTCTGTTCCTAAGCTCAGATTGTGTCTTCAGTTTTCCCCCCTTTATATTCTCTAAACTATCAGGTGAGAGTGGAACATGTCTTACCTCTTAATACTTGCTGCCTCCTTCCATTCTCCAGAGAAATCTTGTCCTTTAATATAGCCAAAATTAAGAGAGGTTTGCAGTTCAGAGATGTGACTGTGTACATGTATTTTCTAGTTTTTTTCTCAGAAATCATACCTTCTCTTCACGCAGCATTATTTTCCCCTTTTCCAGCTTTTAAGAAGGCCTAGGAGGGTTGCTTTAAAGGCTGTGGTATGATTCTAAACTAGAACAAGCCAGCTGGAAAGTTAACTTAGGAGGACTGTAGAGGTGGAATAAAGGGTTGACAAAATAGATGAGCTGGAAAGAAGGGAACAGTGTGTTTAAGGTTGAAAAAACAACAACAAAAAAAGTCACTTTTCATTCAGCTAGTTTTTTAGCATCTGTGTTCTCCCAACCTCACTGAAATTTGGTTCTTAAGAACTCTGCTTTCTGGAATGTGGTTTCTCAACATCAACACTGTTGACATTCTTGGCTAGATTATTTGTTTTGGGAGATGCCCTATGCAACATGGGATATTTAGCAGCATCCCTGGCCCCTACCCACTAGATGCCAGCTGCTTCCCCTAGTTGTAACTACCAAAAATGTCTCCAAGGATTGCCAGATGACCACTAAGGGCAAAATCTACACCCTGTTGAGAGCTACTGCTCTAGAAGAAGGCAATTTTAATGTCCTGGCTGGCAACTTGTATAAATATTATGTCAATTATGCATTGGGTTTTCGATAAATGAATCCTGGAAATAAAAGACCTTTTTGTGAAAGTTGGCACTTTGGGTGATCGAACCTTGATGGGTCCTATGACTTAAATTTGATGTATACTTAAGAATCAAGGTCCCTGAACCTCTGTGCCACACATGTCTACAACTTTACACAGGCAGATATCTCCAGAAATAAATATATCTCAGCTCTCACGCTGCATGCGTATCATACTTTTTATGGCATTATTCCTTCAAAATTATAGTCAGTGGTCATTCAGTCAGGTTATAATGGTAATTAATGGGTTGGGAAGTTGAAGCACAGAGTGCCTTACCCTGTAACCTTTATAACAACCCCCTCAGAGTCTATGTGGATAGTAATAGATTTGTTTTATTCAGCTTCAGTTCATGTGGTATCTGAAGATCATTTCAGTCATTGGATAGATTAACATTCCAAGCTTAGAACAGCTAGGTGCTGTGTTTTATGAGAAGCACCATACATTTCAAGCCACGTGTTCTAGAGGCAAGTAAGTGATTATGAACTTTGTAAAAATAATTTAATTCCTTTGGCTGTTCAGTTCTGAAGAAGATTGAAGTTACATAACTTGCTACTGTGTAACCCTATATCCAACTGCAGATTTTCATTACTGATACAGATTCCCAGCACAGTTACAGACTCTGGCTTTTTTGCCTCTATGCCGACCAAATAATTGAATCAATGGAAGTTGAAAGTTGAATTAGACTACTCAAAATTGTTTAGCAGCAGCATCAGGTTTCACATTTAACACTATCATTTAAATTTTTTAAGCCTTAACGTTATTCCACAAAAGGACTTAGGTGAGCGTGTTAAGGATTTAAACAAAATGATAAGAGATAGAGCAAGGGTCTTAACAATAGGTGTTTGAGGTTAATTTTTAGCACAGCTTCATTCAACTTGAATTGTTTAGCAATCAAAAGTACAGATGCTTGGTAATTTTAGAATGGTAGATTTTTTTTTTTTTTTTTTCTTCGAGATGGAGTTTCGCTCTTGTTACCCAGGCTGGAGTGCAATGGCGCGATCTCGGCTCACCGCAACCTCCGCCTCCTGGGTTCAGGCAATTCTCCTGCCTCAGCCTCCTGAGTACCTGGGATTACAGGCACATGCCACCATGCCCAGCTAATTTTTTGTATTTTTAGTAGAGACGGGGTTTCACCATGTTGACCAGGATGGTGTTGATCTCTTGACCTCGTGATCCACCCGCCTCAGCCTCCCAAAGTGCTGGGATTACAGGCTTGAGCCACTGTGCCCAGCAGAATGGTAGGTTTTTTAAAATGTGTATTAATATTATTTGAATGATACGATTTTTAAACAAATCAGTATCAGTAATTCAGTTAATAAATGCTAGATAAGCAGGAATTGTCAAACATGTACTTTTTTCTACCAATTATTTGATAAAGCGCCCAGGTTTCTTTGAATTTATGTATACCGTCATTCCCATTATTTAGGATAAACTATACCCTCATGCTGCATGGAACATAAAACAAACTTTATTGAAGAACATAAAGCAAACATGCATAAAACAAACTTAATTGAAGACTTGATATAAGAGCTTAGAAACATGTGAAGCAAGTGAGAAATTCTAATGTTTTATGCTCCTTTTTCCCATTTTTTGAAGCTTTCTTCTTTATAGCTGCTATAACAGCTTTTTTTTTTTGCTTGATCAAGTCTTTCCAAAGCATTCAACTTGGTTTTGCACCCTTATTTTGTCATTTACATAATAATTACATTATTATATTAATGAATACTACTGGTACTAGCAGGTTCTGGAACAAGCAACTGAGGATCAGTAAACAACTCAAGTTAGAATGGGAGTAGCAGTACATGAGTGTTGTACTAACTCCTAGTGTTTAACATGTTGGCAGCTTCCCAGCCTGTCCACAGAAATGCACGGGGCTGCTTACTGCATAGCTCCATGGGCACCATTCACACAAAATTTTACGTAAATAATCCCTCCTGGAGTTATTGTATGTAGTGGCTCTGGGAATGGAGGCTGTTGGTTAATCTAGCTTAGTCTGAGAAATGGAGGGTCTGTAAAGAGCTTCTACTCTGTAAAAAAAAATAAGGCCTGGTAGAAAAGAGATTAGAACCTTAAAAGGTTAAATAAAATTTGCGATAGCAGATTTATCATGTAATGTTAATTTTTTATGTTGCTGAAATAGGTGGGCAGCCTCACAAAAGGAGAAAGACCTCTGATGCAAATGAAACTGAAGATCATTTGGAATCTTTAATATGCAAAGTAGGAGAAAAGGTACGTCACACAATAGGCATAGGCTGTGATGGAGTTAAGAATGCGGTTGACAAAAAAAAAATCAAATGAGTAAGTAGAAGACAAAAACAAACAAAAAAAGAATGTGGTTGACTGTGCTTTAATTTTTGATGCTGAAAACTTGAAGTACATTTTGGCAAAGCTGTTATTACCATGCATCTATAGCCCAAAGTGAATGAATATTGAAGCCCCTGGGATGCAGATAATTGATCATTTTTAGTAATTTAGTAATTAATAATTTTCATAGAAGATGAGCGTTAGAAGGGACCTAGGATATAGACCGCTTAATTTATACATGAACTAAATGAGCCCTTGAATACTTGAGGTAATTTGCCCAGAGTAAGAGAGTAAATTAGTAAAAGAGGTAAAATGGAGCCCATGGCGTCCTCCCAGTTCTAATACTTATTCTGTCATAGACTGCTTTGTTTTTAAATTTCACTCATCAACTTTTCATGAATTTCTAAAGAGCAATAAGTATTTTAATTGATTTATACTAAACCCGTTATAGCTCTGTATGCTTTTTTAATGATCATATAGAAAATTTTATTTTAGTTCACTAAAATAGCAATTAAAAGGACAGATTGGTAATTATTTTGCAATGATAGATTTTAAAAATATATATATTTGCATTTAAATACGGTTTCAAAAATAAATGTATATTGCTGAGTACTTGACAGATATTTAATGTGATGTCGTCTACAGAGTGCCTGCTCTTTGGAGAGCAACCTAGAAGGCTTGGCTGGGGTTTTGGAAGCTGATCTTCCTAACTACAAGAGCAAGATCTTAAGGCTTCTTTGTACAGTGTATGTATGCAAAAGATTTATGAATCCAGGTGATAATGTATTATCTACTCTTAAATGCTTTGGGAAATGTTCAAAATATATGTTTATGTTCTGTATGTCCTTGGCTTTCCTTCTATGGGGAAATTTATACAAATGAGCCAACCTTTGGCCCTATAGTGAACTCTTTTTCTTAGGGATAAAACTAAAATTGAGTGTTTTCCTTATGTATTGTTTCTTAGAACCTTAGAATCACTTTAGTTGACTTTTTTTTTGTGGGGGGAGACAGAGCGTCTGTCACCAGGCTGGAGTGCAGTGGTGCAGTCTCAGCTCACTGCAACCTCCACCTCCCGGATTCAAGCGATTGTCCTGCCTCAGCCTCCTGAGTAGCTGGGATTGCAGGCACGTGCCACCACGCCTGGCTAATTTTTGTATTTTTAGTAGAGACAGAGTTTCACCATATTGGCCAAGCTGGTCTCAAACTCCTGACCTCGTGATCCACCTGCCTCAGCCCCCCGGAGTGCTGGGATTACAGGCGAGAGCCACCGCAACAGCCTTAGTTGACTTTACAGAGAGAATAGATACTCTCTCATTCAGATACATACATTTTGTAAGCATGTACATTTAAATGTATAAAATAGAGTTTTACTTAGGTTTTAAAATTCATAGTACCAGATTTGGGAATTGGTAACTCAAGTAGTAGCCCTTCTTGGAAAACTGAAGATGGTTTTGAAGCCACTGTTAATAGGCATATCCTCTGGATAAATGGGAGTCTTTGTAGTTTCATGAAATTGTATGAGGTGTTTTTAAATGATGAAAGTGATGTTTATCACTTCTTAGTCTTTTAGTTTAGATCAAGTGAAGGTAACCTTAAGAAACTACTAAGGAAATCTTCTGAAATCCTTTTTTAAAATGGAGTTGTATTTATGCTTAAACTCTGTTGGAAGCCTTGTTTAAGGCTGAACTTGTATTGCTTCATAGTGTTCTTTTTTAATTTTTGGTTTTGAGAGAGTTTCAGGAAGCACAGTTACCATCATCACAGGTATTGTTTTGAAGACCTAAATTGTCCCTCATGTTCTACTAGGTACTTGAGGAAAACAAGAAGCCAGAGAATCGCTTCCCCACTGAATGATCATGATTCCTTACTTGCTTTTTTTTTAGAGCTAATTCTAAAGCCTGCCTAAACTAGAAAAAACTGCTTTTTTTGAAGGGTTGTTATTGTAATCCTTTCCCATACTTTTCAAACAACTTTAATGAAATCAACACACTTGGAGTAAGCAACTGAGATGTAGACAAATCTTAACTATTTCAGAGTACGTTTTTAAAAATTCAGTCATTAAACTGGTAGGAACTTAGTTGAAACTGGTTTTAATTGTGCATCTTTTGTAAGCAATTGGAATAGTGTTTCTCAAAGTAGAATTCTGGTTCCATGACATTTGGTTAGCTAAGTTTAGAAACTGGATGCTGTACCTCCCTCCCCACACCCCCGTTAATGATTCTGCATTAAAGAGGCTTGTTTCACCCAGGATTTCTGAGAGATTTTACCATGGAAACCATATTCTGTGGAAATCCTCTTCGGTTCCACTAAACACACTTGAAGAAAAACTAGTGTAGCATTAGTTTTATTTATTTCAGTATGATAACTTCACAATTAAATTATTTACTTTCTTAACTCTTTAGATTAATGAATTAAAATGTAATTTTTCATTTTAATTCATTAGTTACAGAATTGCTACAGAAATGCTACATCTGTAACATTTCTGAATGACATGCTTTTTCTGAAGCAGTTTTAAAGACATAGCTAAAAGTAATCCTGTTCCAAGTTAGTGGAATGATAAAAAGATTCACGTAAAATTCAGCAACTTAACATAACGCCCTTGTTTTGGGGTTTTTTTTGTTATACTGGGTTCTCAAATCAGTGCACGTCTGTTACCTGAGAAGTTGACAATTTATACAACATTAGTTGGACTACTGAATGCCAGGAATTACAACTTTGGTGGAGAATTTGTAGAAGCCATGATTCGTCAACTTAAAGAATCATTGAAAGCAAACAATTATAATGAAGCCGTATATTTGGTAAGTTAATTTGTTGGTATGTTATGACTTACTCTTGGGATGGAGGGAAAAGGTGAGCAACAACCAAATAATTTAAAACGCTCTCCTGAAGCATTTGATACCCCCAAATCTGTAACAGTACCCCCACCTTCAACCTTTCTCCTGAGCTCCAGTCCAGTATTCCAGATGCTAACTGCATAGCCTTCAGATACCTTACCAGGAAGTGCCTAAATTAATGCATCATTCATACTTCCTTTTTTCTGTCCTCTCCCCAGCTCATACAGTGGCGACTGCGTACTGAATAACCTATCTAGAAAGCTGAGCGTTAATTTTTGTCTTCCCTTTGCCCTCTTGTACCCAGTCCCCATCAATTCTGTCTCCCGAATTTCTCTCAAGTCTGTCCTTTCTTGGTCTCCAGAGCCTCTAGCTTAGTTTGTGCCTTGGTCCATATGTTCTTAATAGCCTCTTAACTGATCTTTTTGCATCTAGATTCTCTGCTTTTCACTTTGTGTTCTACAGTGGCACCAGACTGGTCGTTCTATAACTAGGCTCTGCACATGTTGGTTAGTGGTTTAAAAAACCTTAGTTTTTTTTCATTGTCTACAATGAGTGGTCTTAAAAGCCTGGTACACAAGATGATTCCTTGGGTTTCAGGAAGTAAATACTAAGAACTCTTATTTATCCTTAGTGGAAATGGAATTAAGCCTTACTAATACTTAAGACATAGATTAATGGTGATCCAGTGTATATCATAAATAAATATGTGTTGAAGATAAGTGATCACATTCTTTTTTTACTGACAAAGTTTGGATACCCATCAGGCTATAGGATTAAAGTCCAGACTCTTTAGCCTGATCGTTTAGGGTTTCCCCAGTCTGTTTCTCTATTCTTGTCTTCTGTACACTCTCCAGCAATATCAAAGTAACTTGCATACACATTGCCATGTGTATGCACCTTGTTTTTGAACCTCTATGCCTACACTGCCCTCCTTGCTCACTGCTTGAGACCTTTGGTGGTCCTGTATGACCTAGCCTAATTGTTACCTCCTTTATGATGTTTTCTCCAACTCCCTTTGTCATTGGTCCTAGAAAAGTTTTAATTTGCCTTTTAGTGCAGGAGTCATCCCTTTGTATTGAGATTTTGCTTATTCCACTAGAATGGGTCCTGACAGTGACTTTTAGTAGTGTTTAACAATAGCACACTAAGCATACCCAATGTATATCTCTTCTGTAATTTCCATGTCTGTAATTCACAGCCAAACAGAAAAGGAGATTATAGGTTGAAATAGCTAGAATATTTTACTGTAAAATATTGTACATTAGAATTTTTTTTATCCTTAGTGGAAAGTACATTATTCTACATTAAGAATCTAGAATAGCATAGAAACCTATGAACTCACAGATTGCTGTCCTTTAATACAGTCTTTGTTACAACCTCTAAATTCTGCCATGGTAGCACAAAAGCAACCAGAGACAATATGTAAGTGAATGAGCATGGCTGTTCCAATAAAAGTTTACTTCTGGACACTTGAATTTCATGTAATTTGTATGTGTTATATTCTTGATTTTTTTTTTTTTCAAGCATTTAAGAATGCAGAAACCATTCTTAGTTCCCACGTATGCAAAAAACAGGTAGTAGGCTAGATCCAGCCCTTGGGCTGTAGTTTTTCAGACCAATAGTTGAATTTAATAGCAGAAATTGTTTACCCCAACAGGTTCGTTTTTTATCTGATCTTGTGAATTGTCACGTCATTGCTGCCCCATCAATGGTTGCTATGTTTGAAAATTTTGTAAGCGTAACTCAGGAAGAGGATGTGCCTCAGGTAAGAGAACCCCTCATGCTGAATCTTGAGGGGTTGCTGAATCCTGGTACTTCATACAGTACCAGGAATTTTTCGCTGATAACCCATTAGCAATAAAGAAAAGGTAACAGCAGACTATCGCACTTTTAAGTTCTTAATATCTAAAAATTAAGTCCACTGGCACACCAGTGGGTTCTCATGATTTCTGTATGTTAATTTAAATGATGCTATCTAGTAAGATTAGAACTAATATATCTAGAAATGCTCTGTATAAAACAGATGTCTTACTTAAGTCCTGTCAGTTTCCATAGGATTTCTTTCAAGAATAAATAAAATATGAATGAATATAATTAAAGCATATTTTAAACTTAACTTTTTAAAAATCCTTTAGGTGCGGCGAGATTGGTATGTGTATGCATTTCTGTCATCTTTGCCCTGGGTTGGAAAGGAGTTGTACGAAAAGAAAGATGCAGAGATGGACCGCATCTTTGCCAACACTGAAAGCTATCTTAAGTAAGGGCACAGCTCATAGTACTCTTTGTTGCTTAGGTGAAGGATATCTAATTAAGTTTTATATTTTATTTATCAGTGATGTTATTTGAGTTTCTTAAAAATAAGCTGTAGAGTTCCTGAAGGTATTTTCTAGGCAATCCTGTTATCCTACTGTTTTAGCTCACTGAGACCTCAAAGTAGTCAAATATATTTGCTTAGTTTTGCCGGTGCAAAGGACAGTTGGTAATGTAGCTTCTTTTAAGCTACTTTATGTTTATAAAAAAACACCCTAGTACAATAGTTCCTCAGATATTAATGTGGATATGAACTACCTGTGGTACTTAAAGTTCTCAGACTCCAACCCCCAGACCTAATAAATTACACAGTTTGAGGGAGAGGTTTGGACATCTGTATTATTAATACATTTCACAAGTAGAGAACCACTGTCCTAGCACATACAATATATTTCATGTAAATTAATGATAAACCAAACTCTTAAGACAATGGTCCTTAATCCAGACAGTACTTCTTAAGTAATATGGCACATTTCAATTCAAATAGTCACTTGTCTTCTCATTACCCATCTCTCCCAAGCGAATGTAAAAGCTTGGTTTATATTGTTGGGTACAGTAATAATAATAGGCCTTTTTAGTAAATTTATGCTTAATTATCCAGCAACATGGTAATGGTCATGTGGCCCTTAAGTTTTTACAGATGGATTTTGTTGTTAAGTTTTATTTTCTCTTTTTTTTTTTCTTGAAATGGAGTCTTGCTCTGTCATCAGGCTGGAATGCAGTGGCATGATCTTGGCTCACTGCAACCTCCACCTCCCAGGTTCAAGCAATTCTCCTGTCTCAGCCTCCCGAGTAGCTGGGACTACAGGCATGCGCCACCATACCCAGCTTATTTTTGTATATTTAGTAGAAACAGGGTTTCACCATGTTGGCCAGGATGGTCTCGATCTTTTGACTTCATGATCTGCCCACCTTGGCCTCCTAAAGTGCTGGGATTACAGGCATGAGCCACCATACCCAGCCTTCATTTTCTCTTTTTTGAGTACCTTTTTGGATAACTGTTAATAGCTACTTAGTTGGTTATAAGTAAAGTTAAAAGAAGTTTAAAAATAAGAATCTTTTGTGTGTGTATACATATCCTTCTTTTGTACAATGGGTAGTCCAGTATATATACGGTTCTTCACTTGCTTTTTCTTTCTTACTATAACTTGGATTTGTTGCATAAAAATACAGAGCTCTACTTCATTCTTTTTTAACAGTTGCAGGGTATTTCACTTTTTAATGTACCATTATTATTATTATAATTATTATTATTTTTTTTTTTTGAGATGGAGTTTCACTCTTGTTACCCAGGCTGGAGTGCAATGGTGTGATCCTGACTTACTGCAATCTCTACCTCCCAGGTTCAAGAGATTCTTCTGCCTCAGCCTCTCAAGTAGCTGGGATTACAGGCATGCACCACCACACCCAGCTAATCTTTTTCATATTTTTAGTAGAGACAAGATTTCTCCATGTTGGTCACACTGGTCTGGAACTTCCAACCTCAGCTGATCCTCCCGCCTCCGCCTCCCAAAGTACTGGGATTACAGATATGAACCACCACACTTGGCTAATGTACCATGATTTCTTTACTCTCCTGTTGGTGGACATTTAGGTTATTTTCAATCTTTTTCTATCATAAACAATGTTTCAGTGAATATCTTTGTGTATATGTCTTTGTGTACATGTGCAAATACATTTATAGGGGATATAAATTTTTAGAGATGGCATTGCTGGATTGAAGGTTCTAAACAATTTTAATTTTGATAGATTTAGTCAAATTACCTTCCAAAGAGATTGTACTCTCTCAAAGAGATTATACCAATTAACCTCTTTGTCAACAATGTTTGAGACTGAATCTTTACCTGCATCTTGATGACACACAGTACCTTATCAAAACAGTTGACATCTGCCACTACAGTAGGCAAAATGTTATTTTATTGCTTTAATTTTCATTTTAATAACTATGAAGGTGACTGAGCATCTCATATTTTTAAAAGCCTAAATATAGATTTTTACTTTTATCTTTAGAAGACGCCAAAAGACTCATGTACCCATGTTACAGGTATGGACTGCTGATAAACCACATCCACAAGAAGAGGTAAATTAATTTCAGTTTCTTGTGATACAAACACAACTCTTGAATAGAGTCCACCTCTGTAAGATACTCAGACCATTCCATTTTACCCCTTGGCTGTGTTCCCACATTTCATGTCAGTTCCTTCTCATAGCTCTAGGTATAGAGTAGATTTTTAATAAATGATAGAATGTAATTGAAATATTCCCTTGTTCTGTGGGATTCCAGCTACTACAGAGTTTAGATATATTTATTTAAATGCTCAATTTGAAAAATATGAAAACAGACAATTCTAAACAGACTATAAAATAAGTAATTAAAATAAAAACAAACACTTAGCACCTTTTTTGGTACCATTTTACAAGTTAGTCTACTTTTGTAGCCTGTATTTTAAAGGGTAGTGATTTTTTTTATTTTGTCTAGTCAAAATATTAATTATATTAATGATTAAAAATTAATCTGTCTTTAGTATTTAGATTGCCTGTGGGCCCAGATTCAGAAATTGAAAAAGGATCGCTGGCAGGAACGGCACATCCTAAGACCTTATCTTGCCTTTGACAGCATCCTGTGTGAAGCACTGCAGCATAATCTGCCTCCTTTTACACCACCTCCTCACACTGAAGATTCAGTGTATCCAATGCCAAGGGTCATCTTCAGAATGTTTGATTACACAGATGATCCTGAGGTGGGTGACCAACTAAAAGTCCTAGATACGACCTGTGTTGCATTGTGCTTGTGGTTTAATCCTGCTCAAATTATGCCTGTGGTGTGTTTTAATTTTGAGTTGTTTTTTTATCTAAGAAAGTCAATAGCAATGAAGCTAACTTTTTAATTCAGTGAATGATATCACCTCATTATACAAGAAATTATATTTGGCATGTGTAAATAGATTAGAGAGATAAGCACAGTTTGCAGGCTAAGAATGTAGGTTTTGAGAGCTACATTGTTTGTGTTTTGAACTTGGTTTAGCCAAATACTAGCTGTGTGAATTTGGTAATTGTTTGCCTCTCTGTGCTTTTGTTTCTTGAAGGTAATAATAATAGTATATATCTCATAATAGTAGTATATATCTCATGTTATGAGAATTAAATTATTAACATATATAAAATGCATAGAACAAAAACAGTGTCTGACACATGATGAATGATCAGTCATTCTATTAATTTTTCTTTCTTTTTTTTTTGAAATGGAGTCTCATTCTGTCACCTAGGCTGAAAGGCAGAAGTGAGATCTAAGCTCACTGCAACTTCCACCTTCTGTGCCCAAGTGATCCTCCCACTTCAGCCTCCTGAGTAGCCAGGACCACAGGCATACATCACCTCACCTGGCTAATTTTTTGTAGAGTTGGAGTTTCGCCATGTTGCCCTCGAACTCTTGGGCTCAAGCAACCTGCCCGCCAAGTTTTCCCAAAGTGCTGGGATTACAGGCATGAGCCACCGCACCTGGCCATAATTATCCTTAATAAGGTTATTTCTCAAGAAAAGTACCTAGTTTTAGATATTCTCCATCTCTCTCTAGGCAACACAGCTTGTCTTGTGATTATTCATGTTGTATGGTTATTTACAAACAAATGTTAAAAGTGTTTTTAACTAAAAAATTCCAAAGATTGGCCGGGCGCGGTGGCTCAAGCCTGTAATTCGAGCACTTTGGGAGGCCGAGGCGGGTGGATCATGAGGTCAAGAGATCAAGACTGTCCTGGTCAACATGGTGAAACCCCGTCTTTACCAAAAATACAAAAAATTAGCTGGGCATGGTGGCGCGTGCCTGTAATCCCAGCTACTCAGGAGGCTGAGGCAGGAGAATTGCCTGAACCCAGGAGGCAGAGGTTGCGGTGAGCTGAGATCGCGCCATTGCACTCCAGCCTGGGTAACAAGAGCGAAACTCCGTCTCAAAAAAAAAAAAAAAAATTCCAAAGATTAGTCTAAGCTGACCTTATCATTTTTAATATGCATGTTATTTCAAAGTCAAGTTGCTGACAGTCATTATACTGTTACAAATGTATATTGTACAATAAAGAAAATTTATAATTTTCATTTTGGGTACTATTTTGTGTATGGTAAGATGCTCAGCAGTGTACCTGACCTCTACCCTCTAGGTGCCAGTAGCACTCTCCCTGCCTCAGATGTGACAACCAAAAATATTTCCAGAGAGTGTAAAATGTCCCCATGGGTCACAATTGCCCCCAGTTGAAAACCATTGCCATAAAAATGAATATAACCACCTAAAGTCAAATTTGAGTTTCTCCTATCTCCTCTTTTCTGTCCTGTGGTAAAGTGCATATGACCAGTAGGAATTTAGTATATAGGTAATCTATTTCAGAATAAAAATTTGTCAGATAATCAGTTACATATACAAAATTAGCAGCTTGCTGGCCCTCTTTGCTATGTTCCATATGTAACCAATTACTTAAGTCAAAATTATGTAATGATCTAGTTAGGTATATCTAACTGAAAATATGGTTTACATTTATGACTGCTAATGTTTGTGATTATTTTTTTCATGCAAGGGAAACTAGAATGGGACCTCAAAATTTGTTTCTCCTGTATCTATATTTAATTGGTATCACCTCTATAAGGTGCATATCCATCCCTTGCTGGAAGAGTGTAAATATATAAAATACTTATTACTCTCAAAACAAAGAGGATTTGGTGGTTCTGGCCTTTTAAAAGTTGTTTATTAAAAAAAAAATAGAAATTGTAAAGAAGATTAAAATCATCTGAAAGTCACCATTAAAGGTCTGTTTTTTGTTCTTTGAACCTGTTTGCTATGAATATACTTAAGAATAAAATAATGCCATGTAGATAATATGTTTTAAACTTAGTATATTGTGGGCATCTTTCCATTCATGTGTGACTTTTTAATGGCTACATGGTGTTTGAATAGGATTTTCTCTCTCTCCATATTAATGGAAATAATCTACTTGGTTTAAAAAAACTGTAAGGCTTGTAATACCCAAAATTATTTAGTTTGTTTCATATAAGAATTGGTGTGTAAAGTGGGCAATGGTTGTATGGTAGGTATCAGATGTAGTAGAAGAAACACTACAGCTGATACTCTGGGGTATAAGTAAACATGACAGTGGAATTCACTAAAATATAGAGCTTTAATCCTCACCACCCAGTATAGTGCCTGGAATAAAATAGTCTCTCAAATATTTGTTGAATAAATGAAAGAAATCTGTTTCCTAGCCCTGTGTGTGTACACGTTTGGTTATTTTCCAGGGTCCTGTTATGCCAGGGAGTCATTCAGTGGAAAGATTTGTAATAGAAGAGAATCTTCACTGCATCATTAAGTCCCACTGGAAGGAAAGGAAGACTTGGTAAGATTCTTTTCATGGTGCTTTTAGAATGGAGAAAAAGCAGCAATTTTGGTGATTCAGTAAGAGCAAAGCGTATGTTCAGAGTGTTAGAAAATCTTATTCTCCTAACTCCCTGTCTTGCTAAGACCAATTTCTAAAAACACTTGATTTACTTTGAGGCTCTTCACCTTCATGTAGTACTTTTTAAGGTGCTTTATAGTAATAAGCATATAATGTCAGTTTTTTGCTGTGGATATTTATATGCTATGGAGAGCTTGAATGGCAAGTTATTTGCGGTTTGGATACCAATGGTTTTGCTCTGTTTTCTAGCATTTAGACATCCAAGCTTTGGAGTGTTTTTTTAAATAAAATTTTCTTAAACTTTGGAAAGTTTGGTTTAGATTTTAAGGTAGAAAAATTACAGTATTTTGACAGTGATCTACCCTATTAAAACTTCTTTTTTTCCGTGAAATGGAGTTTTACTCTTGTTGCCCAGGTTGGAGTGCAGTGGCGCAATCTTGGCTCACTGCAACCTCCACCTTCCAGGTTTAAGTGATTCTTCTGCCTCAGTCTCCCGAGTAGCTGGGATTACAGGCATATGCCACCATGCCTGGCTAATTTTGTATTTTTAGTAGAGACGGGGTTTCTCCATGTTGGTCAGGCTGATCTCGAACTCTGTACCTCAGATGATTCCCCCTGCCTCGGCCTACCAAAGTGCTGGGATTACAAGCGTGAGCCACTGCACCTGGCCTAAAACTTGTTTAAGTTAGTACATTTGAATGTGCTTCCATAGATCTTTCAAGAAATTTTGGATGCATTAAATATTTTTCTGTGATAGATAAAATAATTTATGCCATAGTTAAATGAAGTAACTGAAATCTAGGACATTTCAAAAAAGATTTTTCTTTGCTTATATCTAAACACATTGCTTTTGAAACTGCTTATTTGACTTTTCATGTGCCTTTGTATACTTATTAAACTTAAATTACACTTTTTATAGTGCTGCACAGTTAGTGAGCTATCCAGGGAAGAACAAGATCCCCTTGAACTACCACATAGTTGAGGTATGCATTCCATGTGGAGCTTGTTTCTCAGTTTTGGAATCTCTCTGTTGACTTTAAAGTATAATCTACTCTTGGCTTATTTATTTTTTGCTACTTGTCAGACATTGAAAATTAACAGAGGAGTGAGGAAATTGCTGTCAGTTTTGGTGCTGTTTAGCCATGTTAGTAAAGAGAAAAAAGGTTGAAACCAATAGCCAAATGGAATTTTGAGTTGCATATAAATTATTATATAGTATGTCCTCATTCATAGATAGTTGTTGTGGATACTGTAAGTTACCTCTAGCTCTGTCAATACGTTGTCCACTTAACAGACATATAAGTGGCTTAAATACTTTATCATTTTAGACACATATCTTTAATTGTGTTTGGCCTCTTATTACTAGCATGCAGTTGGTTAGTATATTATTTCCTGTAACACAAAGTAGAGATGAATCATTATTTATTCTTAGAAATCTAAAGAGCCAAGCAGTTTAGAAATAGAGTAGCAACACTTTTGACTTCATATTAACGCATACAAAAGTTGATGTTAATATACAGTTGAATACTTTATAGAGATGTATATTTAAAAAAGAAAGTGTTCACTTGACATGAGTCAAACTGTTAACTGCATTATTTCTTTTTTTGGTTTTTGGTTGATTTATTTATTTATTTTTTGAGACGAAGTCTTGCTCTGTTGCCCAGGCTAGAGTACAGTGGCATGGTCTCAGCTCACTGCAACCTCCGCCTCCTAGGTTCAAGCAATTCTTCTGCCTGAGCTTCCCAAGCAGCTGGGGCTACAGGTGTGTATCACCACGCCTGGCTAAGTTTTGTATTTTTAGTAGAGACAGGGTTTCACCATATTGGCCAGGCTGGTCTCTTGACCTCGTGATCCGCCCGCCCCGGCCTCCCAAAGTGCTGGTATTACAGGTGTGAGCCACAACGCCCGGCCCACTGCATTTTTAAAATATATATATATTAAAGTATTCATGGGCCAGGCACGGTGGCTCATGCCTATAATCCTAGCAATTTGGGAAGCTGAAGCGGGCTGATAATTTGAGCTCAAGAGTTCAAGACCAGCCTGGGCAACATGACGAGACCCTGTCTCCACTAAAAATACAAAAAAAAAAAAAAAAAAAAAAGGCCAGGCGTGGTAGTGTGCATTTGTAGTCCCAGCAACTTGGGAGGTTGAGGTGGGAGGATCACTTGAGCCCAGGAGGTCAAGGCTGCAGTGAGCTGAAATCGTATCTCTGTACTCCATCTTGGGTGACAGAGTGAGACTCCGTCTCAAAATAAATAAATTAGCATTCATGAAAGAGAGAGCATAGATAGGATGTATTAAGAGTCTCATCCTCTACTGACTGAGCTAACTGGGCCTGATAGGATATATTAAGATACATATTTTATTAATAATGCACTTTTGTGCTTTTTTAAAAAAGTACTGTGTATTTCCCTTCTTTACAAAACTTGTGTATACTTAATGCTATGAACTTGGCTCATTTCAGTGACATGCCTGAAATGCAAAATGTCATTTTTAAATATGCAAAATTTATAGACATTCATTAGACCCAAGTGTAGAAGTGTGAGAGATGGGTAAGAGTAAAGGATGCAGACTAGGACTTTAGAATTCTAGGCAGATGGTCCACCAATTATACAGAGAGGGTGGGAAGGAAGCTTCTGAATAAGAGGCATAGCAAGGAAGTCTTGGATTGCCAGAAAGATCTGAGGATCTATTTCAAATAACAGTGTGGAATGACTTGATTATCTTGTTTCCTGTCCCCAGAATCTAACAGGATTTTTTTTTTTTTTTTTTTGAGATAGGGTCTCGCTCTGTCACCCAGGCTGAAGTGCAGTAGCACGATCTCAGCTTATTGCAACCTCTGCCTCCTGGGTTCAAGCAATTCTCCTGCCTCAGCCTCCCAAGTTGCAGGAACTATAGGAGCCCACCACCACACATGGCTAATTTTTGTATTTTTTGTAGAGACAGGGTTTCATCATGCTTTCCAACTTGTCTTGAACTCCTGACCTTAAGTAATCTGCCTGCCTTGGCCTCCCAAAGTGCTGGGATTACAGGCGTGAGCCACTACACCTGGCTGAAGAGTTCTTATTACTTACAGGAACGAAACTGTCATGGAACTTTTGAGCCCCTCAAAAAGCTGTATTTCCTTGTCTCAACTGTGATAACTTTCAGAGTTGGAATTTAATTGCATAGTTTTCTGGGAGGAGTATAGATCAAATAAACATTAGTGTCATATGTTTTTATTTGATCAAATTGTAGAGAGTAGAAGTTTTCATTACAGTTTCCGTTTTAGATTTTTGTGTTTGAAAGAGCATAATTTTAAATATTAAAAAGTAATTCCATTTTCATTAAAAATGTCATGGAGTTAGAGCTCAGATTTAGAATGTTAAAGTCTTTCTAATAGAAGTGCAGAGGTAACAGTTGAATTGAATTATGACTCATGATTATTTTGTAGGTGATATTTGCAGAGCTCTTTCAACTTCCAGCACCCCCTCACATTGATGTGATGTACACAACACTTCTCATTGAACTGTGCAAGCTTCAGCCTGGCTCTCTACCCCAAGTTGTATCCTTCCCTTTGTTTTTAAACTTAATCTCTTTGGCCTGGTCTTGAAAGATTATTAAATATTTCTGCTTATGGGTTTAAATTTTGCAGGTAAAAAAAAGTAGCTTTTGAAGTGTGTTGTGTGTATTACATGTATGTACTTGTATGTCTGTAAATACATATGTATCTATAGATACATACTTCACTATTTGGGTCAGGAAGTTCAAAAATCGCAATGAAATTTGCTGCATAGATTGACTTTTCCTTTCACAAAAGATTTCTCTGAAGCATGTATTGCTGTTTGAGACAGCATTTTACCCACACTCTAACTTGGAAGGAATTAATCTTCTCAAACCCTGCCACTGCTTTATTAGCTAAGTTTCTATGATAGTCTAAATCTTTTGTTGTCATTCAGCAATGTTCACAAGGAGTTGATTCATCTCAAGAAACTACTTTCTTTGCTCATCCATAGAAAGCAGCTTCTTATTTTTTAAAGTTTTATTATGAGATTGCAGCAATTAACAATGGAAAAGCTTGCATCATTGTAAGAATTACCAGTATGTGACACAGAGACATGCAGTGAGCATATGCCATTGGGATAATGGTGCCAGTAGACTTGCTTGTGCAGGGTTACCACAGACTTTCAGTTTGTTTAAAAAAAAAAAAAAATGCAATTTCTGCTAAGCACAATAAAACAGTGTATGCCTGTGCATTTGGAGGAGCATGGGGAAATTTGGGAGGTGATGAAAATATTATCTTGATTTCACTAGTGTATGCAGGTCAAATTCATTATACATCACTGATATTTCAAAGCTGTAAAAAAACAAGATCAATTGTGAAAAGATGTTTAACATTAATCATTATAAAGACTTAAAGGAAATGTTTTGTTTCTATTTTTGTCTGTTACAACTTATTTGGGATAGAGGTAGAGAACAGTTTTCCTTATCCTAAATTCACAGCTTGCACAGGCAACGGAAATGTTATACATGCGTTTGGACACAATGAATACCACCTGTGTAGACAGGTACAGTAATCACTTTATCTGCAGTTTTTTTGGTTTTTTTGTTTGTTTGTTTGCTTTGTTTTTGAGACAGGGTCTTGCTCTGTCACCCAGGCTGTAATGCAAGTGGCATGAGCATAGCTCATTATAACCTTGAACTTGTGGGCTCAAGCAGTCTTCCTGCCTCAGCCTCCTTTCTAAGTAGCTGGGTTTGCAGGCATGAGCCACTGCACCTGGCCACCATTTCTTAAATCTTTTTTTTTTCCCTTCAGTTTCATCATCATTTATATGGGGAAAATAATATGTATCTTGGAAGTTGTGAGATTTAAATAATACACATATTAGGTGCCCACACAAAACATGTACTAGAAGTGTATATGTCATTGACCTAAAAAGGATAAAAGGGTTGGTAGGAGATAAGGCTGTATGTAGGGGAATATGCTTTTCATTAATTCTGTAAAATTGAGATTTATCTGTTTGAAGGCTTATATAAATTTATGTTCTAAATCACAGCCATTCTTTTTTCTCTCCCCACCTCCCCCTCCTCTACATAGGTTTATTAATTGGTTTTCTCATCATCTAAGTAACTTCCAGTTCCGTTGGAGCTGGGAAGATTGGTAAGTGGTGGTGTGTTTTATCCTTCCTTTCTGTAGTCAGAAAACTACTAGTATTTAAAACTGTAACATTAAAGTGCCTGAAATATTTAATTTCTTGGAAGGAAATTATTTGTATAGTTAAGTACAAATAGTTATAAGTGCAATTATAACTTAACATAACTTGTAAGTTGTTATGTTAACAGATAATTATAGTATAAATGGGTGTAAGTGCAGATGGTGTGTAAGAATTGATAAAACTACATTTTCTCATTAGGTCAGATTGTCTTAGTCAAGATCTCGAAAGTCCCAAACCAAAGTTTGTAAGAGAAGTTCTAGAAAAATGTATGAGGTAAGTTTTTTGTATTTTCTCTCTTGTTTAGGTCTTTTAACTTCTTTGGGAGGATTTGTTTCTCTTCTCTGCATTTGTGATGTGTGTTCAGAATACTGGATTCAAAATCTACTTACTCATCTTCCATCACACTTTTAATCAAGATTTAGGCTAAAAAAATTAGGCAACCATGCCATATAGATGCCATGTGAATTAAGCCAGTACTTTTAAAGATGTTATAGGCTGGGCGCAGTGGCTCACTTTGGGAGGCCACGACGGGTGGATCACATGAGGTCAGGAGTTCAGACCAGCCTGGCCAACATGGTGAAACCCCATCTCTCCTAAAAATAGAAAAATTAGCCAGGTGTTGTAGCACAGGCCTGTAATCTCAGCTACTCAGGAGGCTGAGGCAGCAGAGTCACTTGCACGTAGGAGGTGGAGGTTGCAGTGAGCCAAGATTGTGCCACTGCACTCCAGCCTCGGCAACATAGTGATACTCTATCTCAAAAAAAAAAAAAAAAAAAAGATGTTATATATGAAATGAATTCAGATGTATAGAAAAATTGCCACAACAGTACAAAGAATGCTATATCCTGTTCAGGTACATTCCATAGCTGTTAACTTCATATCTTCCAAAACAGAGCCATCTCCTACCTAGCTGGCATACAGCCTTTTAGATCAGGAAATTAGCTCTGGTACAATCCTACTACATAATCCACAGGTGCTGCTGAAATTTTGCCAGCCATCCCAACATCTGTATTTCCTGTCTGGTCTGGAATCTTATCCAGGAACATGTGTAATGTTGAGTTGTCATTCTCTTCAGATTCCTTCAGTCTTGAATACTTACTCTTTTTCTATCTTTGTGTTCTTACCGGTTTTAAAGAGTTTAGACTTTACTTAGATTGCTCTGAAATTTCCTCATGAGCAGCCTGAGGTCTTAAATTGTTAATGTTCTTGGTGCCTCACATCTAGAGGCACATGATTCCCACCACTGGTAATGTTAATCTTGATCACCTGGTCATGTCAATATCTACCAGCTTTCCTTACCTTTCTCCACCAGCTTTTTCTACCTCTCCATTTTTCCCTTTAGTAGAATTCATTAGTATTTTGTGGGAGATAGTCTGAAGTTTTAATCTGTTCTTCAGATCTCCATCCTGCTTTTAGCAGCTACCACTAAGATGGTTGCCAAGTGATGATTTTCTCACTCCGTTATTTTTTCTACAGTTATCAATGGGCCTTCTACTGTAAGAAAGGGCTGTCCTTTCTCCCTATTTATTCCTTTATTTATATATCATTAGGGACTAATTAATTTATATTATATTCAATGGGTTATAAACTGTGAAGGTCATTTATTTTGATGCCCAGCTTGTCTGTGTTATGTACATGAGGAGCCCTGGTAAGTTCTATATGTCCTTTTTTTTCCCTTTTTTAAATGTACCCCACCATTCGCTGAGCATTTCTTTATTTTCTAGAACAACATATTTAGAATCATCTTGCATTTTCTTGTACCATCACTGGGATCATCTATTTATTCATAGAGCCCTAGTTTCTAGTAATAGAGAGGTGGAATATGATGTTTAGGAGCCAAGATCTGGGCACTTGCTATGCTCATTGCCACTGGGATGTCATTGGTTCTAAGCCTCTTGGTGGGCACACATCCATCCATCCATAACTATTTTTATGTCCACCTGTGTGTGTATATATATCCCTCCAATTCCAACTTAATACCTTATTATTTGTATACTTCTCTAACATGATTTGTAAATACCTTCTCAGGCAGTAAGAAACTTGGCTCTCATTATCTTCAATACTTATTTGTTACATCCAAAGCATGGAAACTGTCACCTCCACCACACCCATCATCATCCCACATCCTTGGCTACCAGCCTCATGAGCTCACTCACCCGCACCTCAATGCAAGCCAGTAAGTTTTGCAGTATGCCTGAGATTTGGTGTGCTGGCTTAGATAAAAGCCCAGAGGATTTTTTTTCCCCTTTCACTTCTTGGTTGTCAGCTGAGTTCCAAGTTGTTAGAGATTGTGACTTTCCAGGTAAGTTGGGTGTTACCAAAGAATGGGACTGATAAAAGATATTTTCTAAGGCTGTTATTTGTATTGTAGGTTGTCTTACCATCAGCGTATATTAGATATTGTTCCTCCTACCTTCTCAGCTCTATGTCCTGCAAACCCAACCTGCATTTATAAGTATGGAGATGAAAGCAGCAGTAAGTAATGAAGTAAATCCCTCTGTCTTTAAAAGGTACCAGTTCAAGTATATCTGAAGTCAGTTGTTTAAGATGGAGAAATTGCACTTTTTCTTTTCTTGGGGTTTATATTTCCTGCATTTGAATGGTGGTCTATCATTAGCCACTGTTTTATTTGCCCTGTCATTGTTTTTGAGGATTTGGTTGTGATAAAATTAGTTACTAATTTTTTAGAGACTAATTTTTATTAGGTTAACTAATTGGTTTTTCTCTTTTGAATGTGTTAAGTATAGGGAGACGAATTTATAGTTAGAACTTACTAAACTGAGAATGTGTATTGTCATGGTGATGGAGATTACTTGAATTCATTCTTATTCAGGTGTGGCATTGGGAACATAGATGTACATATTCTGTGGCAGTATGCCTTTAAAAGTAAATTCTTAGTTATGATTTTCTTACCTTTTAGTCACATAATCTCTGAAATTGCACCATAAATTAGGGACTATAATTTGATGTACCAATTTGCACTTTGCACAGTATTTACACTTAATGAGGGTAAAGTATTATACATTGTTGATCCCTGGTAGAGTTAGATATGGAGTTTTTCCAACTTGTTTTTTTGCGAATTACACTTAACACAGCCTCTCCATGATCCTTCCGTTTCATGTTGTGTAAAGATTCTTTGCATTTCGAAACTCTGCTGTTCCTTTTCATACTGTATGCCTGTTTCTCCACCTCTGTCCCTGACTTTACTTGTTTTCCATGAAATAAACTGTGTTGATCCTGGTACATTTCCTATTTTCTTATGTCAACTCTGAAAAATAGATATGATTATCAAAACTACAGTGAGGAAATGGCTTCCAAGAGGTCAAGCTAGAATGAGATTGCTTCTGAGTGGTGGAGCCCAAATTCAGGTATAGGTGCACTAACTGAGTGGACATGCTCTTAGCTACTGTGCTTTTTGGCAAATCCAAGATTCATACAGTGCTTAGAAGTGCCAGGTTTTAAGTTTTGTTTTGTACTGGTTCGGAGAATAATAAGGTACAGTCTTTGCTATCAGAAAGCTCAGACTTTTGTTGAAGAATGAGCTTTCTTTTTTCCCCATAGGAATAACTCAGCCTAACATTCAAGGCCTTCATAACCCTTGTTCCTACTTCATTATTTTTCATTTCTCCCCAGATGGACCTCTACTTTTGCCAGGCCCACGTCCTTTTTTATTTTTCCCCATAGTCCTTGTTTTTGGCTTTGCCATTACCCCAGTCTGGAAAGCCCTTTCTGACTTCACTTCCTTTCTTCTTTCTAGGGTCTAGCCGAAGCTCAATTGCTATATATATTTTTTAACCTTTAGCACACCAGTTTTATATTGCTTTCTGGCTGTATCTAATGTGAATATGTTCTCCAGCTAGAATGTAGACCCCTTGGTGACAGGGGATTCTGTTTTTCTTTGCTTTTTCTTTTAGAGAAAAAGCTAACAGCAGGTGTAACATGACTGTTGTAATTTACTTTATTCGTTCCAGTAACTCATACTCTATGACAGGATTGCCTTTTTTGTTACCTCTTTGTCTACCTTACATTAAAAGCAGATTTCTTGTTGCTCTGGTAATGCCTTGCAGTATGTACTAGCACAAATTTTTATAATACGGACTCAACTGATGTTAACCAATAGTAAACACAGGGAGTCCCATCACATGAGCATCTGACTTACATAGATTCAAACTTGTGGACTCAGCAAAAAAGAAAAGTACAAAAACACCTCTCTATAGTTGGCAACTGTTACCTTGTTGAGACCCAGACTTCATTTCCACTGTCCCAAGGAAAGAAGGAGGAAGCGGCTATTGGCAAAATCAAAAAGTATGTTGTTTCTGGGCTTTTGAGCCCAGGAAACTTGAGGGCATTAACAGTTGAACTGTGTCCAGTCTTCTCCTTACCACTCATCTGGAGGAAGATCAGCACCCCTTATATCTGAATTTTACTTAGTTAAGTGTCCTTAAGGAATTGTTGAAATGAGAATTGTCACTTTTTAGGTGAAAAATAAGAATCTTAGGGATTTTTCTGGGCAAGCATGGGTAAAAGAAACTTTCACATATGGTATCCTTATACAGATTAAATATTATCCTTGGGATAAAGAGCATCCTATTTTGAAAGGAAGAATTTAAGGAATTTTTCTCATTTATTCATAAGAATAGTCTTTAATCCTGATCTGTCATTCTGCTTACCCCCCCATTCTCTGTTTAGATTCTCTTCCTGGACATTCTGTTGCCCTCTGTTTAGCTGTTGCCTTTAAAAGTAAGGCAACCAATGATGAAATCTTCAGCATTCTGAAAGATGTACCAAACCCTAACCAGGATGATGATGACGGTAAGGGAATTTCAGTATTTCTTGAGTGGAACTATGTATAGGCCAAGTTAAAGCATAAACATAATTCTGGCAACATGACGCTCATAAAGCAATGTATGACTTGTTCAGATTGTTAGTTGTTCTTAGCATCCCAGGCATTTTCCCCTATATAAAAAGAGATCCTAACATTTCTGTGAAATAGCTTATTTAAGAATATAAACTTCATTGTAAATACAAAATGAAATATGTTACCATTCAAGGATTTTTAAACAACCCCTGCTTTCACCATAGAGAGGTTCCTGAATAGAAAGACGTGGTACATTGTGAAGTTGGATATTGTCTCCAAGTTAAGCTATTAGGGTAATAATGCTTAACATTGACTGAGTTATGTACCGTGTAATTTCAACCAGAATCTTAGGGGTTTTTCTGGGCAAGGGTGGGAAAATTGAGAAAATAATTTGTATAGTTGCCTGAATCAATACATGGATATGCACATAGAAAAACTACTTAATCAAAATATGTTATTAGCGGCCTTTGGTTATTTATTACTGGGATTTTGTTTGTATATCTCTAAGAAACTTGTATTATATTAGAGAAAATGTGTTTAGAAAGCATATACCAAAATGATGGCATTAAATTTAGACGTTGTTGGACATCTTAAGACATAAGGGTTTACTGGGTTTTTTTGGGTATTATATTATCTTGCCATATTATGGAGAATATGCATAAGGAAACCCATGTGATTTTTTTTCAAGGAATGGATTATAGAGTTAAAACAGTCACATAAAACTAAGAATTAAGATTACATGTGATTTCATATTTTCAGTGTTTGAAATCAGTGACAGTCTTTTATTGTTAGTATTAAAAATTACACAAATGTCTGTGTATAAATGTGAGCATACCATCTATTTAGCATTTAAGGTAAGGCACCAAGGAATTGCTCTACTTACATTTTTCTGTTTTACTGTAAAATATTTTTCAGATGAAGGATTCAGTTTTAACCCATTGAAAATAGAGGTCTTTGTACAGACTCTGCTACACTTGGCAGCCAAATCATTCAGCCACTCCTTTAGTGCTCTTGCAAAGTACGTACAAGAGTACACAGCCTTTCTTGAGGGTTTGGAACTTTGCTTGGAGGGTTTGGAACTTTTGAACACCAGTGGTATAGTAATTTTTACTAAGATTGTTGAATATGAAGATCTTTCATAATGTAAAATTGGATAGAGTGGGTTTGTGGTAGCTAAAATCTATATCCTAAAGCTTCTATCTGTTTGTACAGTTTGCATATGTACATGGTAAGTGCTTTTTTTCATATAGACATTTAAAGAAACTAGGGAAAACCTAGATCTTCAGGACAGTCATATATGCAGTTGGAAGTTTCTACCCTAAGTATCTTCCCAAAGGAAGGTAAGAAGAAATTAGAATCAGCTACATTGTTGGGAGCCACCCAAAGGTTGGCATCTTAAGATGGATATAGTTTTAACTTGTCAGACAGTCTAAAGGAAGAAAGAGCACATAGATTTTCCTCCAGCTGAGCAGAGAAACTGGACATCTCACCCCATCTCAACTTCCAAGGCTTTGTAGTACTTGCAGGGTTCCCACAGAAGATGCAGTTTGAATATTTCACCATGTTTGAAGACAGTGCTTAGTCTTTACCTATTCTTGTAAACTGTAGTCCTGGGCTAATGGTAGTGTATTATAAATGTCTTAAGATTTTATGACAGCTTCCTTACAAGCTGTAAATCTCTAATCATGCTTTTTGCGTCCTTAATGGTTAATAGTCATTTTGCATTTACATATTGCATTATAAATTCAGTAACATTGAAAGGCTTTGAAAACACTAAAATGTTTAATGAATAAGTGTATATGGTACTTTTTTCCCCACAATTATCAAAAGGTTTCATGAAGTCTTCAAAACCCTAGCTGAGAGTGATGAAGGAAAGTTACATGTGCTAAGAATAAATTCAGTAACATTGAAAGGCTTTGAAAACACTAAAATGTTTAATGAATAAGTGTATATGGTACTTTTTTCCCCACAATTATCAAAAGGTTTCATGAAGTCTTCAAAACCCTAGCTGAGAGTGATGAAGGAAAGTTACATGTGCTAAGAGTTATGTTTGAGGTCTGGAGGAACCATCCACAGGTAAAAATTACTTAAATACACATGTTGAGACTCTGATTGTATAGGTATAAAAATAAGGCCATTTGTTAATTGCTGTTGTTTGTAAAACATGAAATTTGACTTTGCCTAGATAATGGTTTTTAAATAAAATTTTTTCAGTGCTGTGGGAGTAATGACATTTAATTCATTCTTTAAAGAGCAAGCATTATTATGATTTGGTTTTGAACTATAATATCTCAACATATTTTAGATGTTCAGCAAAAGATTTGTTATCTGGTCTATCCAGTTCCTAAATACAAGCTCCAGATTTCTCAAACCTTGAGAAACCTTGATGTACATTGTGTATCATAAAGAAACATTGAAATAAATTTCAGAAAACAGTTGAGTTTTTAATGATAAAACATTGTTTTACATTTAACTTCTGGGGTTCGTTGAAACTATATTTTTTTGAATAGGTATTAGTATCTGAAATTTTTAAAAAAATTTTTTTCTTTTTGAAGACAGAGTCTCAGTCGCCCAGGCTGGAGTACAGTGGCATGATCTCAGCTCACTGCAACCTCTGCCTCTCAGGTTCAAGTGATTCTCCTGACTCAGCCTCCCACATAGCTGAGATTACAGGTGTCCACCACCACACCCAGCTAATTTTTGTATTTTTAATAGAGACAGGGTTTCACCATATTGGCCAGGCTGGACTTGAACTCCTGACCTCAGGTGATCCACCTGCCTCGGCCTGCCAAAGTGCTGGGCTTACAGGTATGAGCCTGGCCAGTTTTTTCATTTTAACTGTTACCATTCAGAGTTTTTGTTTAGTCAACCTGTTTCTTGTAGTGCTAGAGCAAAGCAAAGGGCAGAATAAATCTTAAGACCTAATGGTCTGGCCAGGTGCGGTGGCTCTCACTTGTAATCCTAGCACTTTGGGAGGCCGAGGTGGGCAGTCCAGGAGTTTGAGACCAGCCTGGGCAGTGTGGTGAGACCCCATCTCTACTAAAATTACAAAAATTAGCTGGGCATGGTGGTGTATACCTGTAATCTTAGCTACTCAGGAGGTTGAGGCAGGAGAATTGCTTGAACCCAGGAGGTTGACGTTGCAGTGAGCCGACACTGTGCCACTCCACTCCAGCCTGGGCAACAGAGCAAGACTCCCCCCAATGGTCAAATTGATCAATCAATTCCATAGCCACCAAAACTGAATTTTATAGCCCTTCTATTTACTTTTATAGCAGCAGTCTTGCCATGTATGTGTGTGTTACTTGTATAATTCTTCTCTCTTTGTAGATGATTGCTGTGCTAGTGGATAAGATGATTCGTACACAAATAGTTGATTGTGCTGCAGTAGCAAATTGGATCTTCTCTTCAGAACTATCTCGTGACTTTACCAGGTAATATGAATTACTTTATGAAACTTGTGTTCTCTAAGAATTAATATACGTGTGGTCTCTCATACATTAGCTTCAAATTCTGGTTCAAACTAGTTTGATATTAATATACTAATGGTCCAGTCTGGTAGGACTGGACATGGCAAAAATTCCTAGGCAGTAGAAACATACACAGCCTGTTGGGTTGCAGCATCTCTTAGAGGACACAATCGTAAGTTGAATCAAGACTAAGCCAGTGAAGGAGAAATGCTGTTGAAGGATCCAGACTGTTGGGAGAGAAAACTAGCAAGAGCCAACTATGTGCAAAGTCTCAGTCCAGATGGACTTGGGAAGGGTTCCAGCTTCAGTGGCGATGGCATCTAGAATGCACACCAGGAACTAGGAGAAACCAAAGTGAAAGTAGGTTAAATACAAATCATGGAGGGATCCAGGAAAGCTTGGCGAGTACCAAGATGCCTGAAGGATGGGGAAAAGGGGTTCTCACCACAGTCATAATCTTAGGTTCAATGCAGAAGATTCATTCTGCACTCATTCCCCCTAAGGAAAGAAAGTTTTTGCTATTTGATTCTTATTTGTGAAGTTCCACGGACTTTCCAGTTGATAGGACCAGGACAGCAGGAGTTCACACAAAGCAGGAAAGAAAAGCAAATTAGTTCTGAAAACAAAAATCAATCACAGCCTTTAACTTTTCCACTGTATCTATTACTGCCAGAGGACACTGGTCTGAAATATACTGAATTGCTAGGGTGATTGGGTGTGATCTAAGGTTGTCATACCAGCCATGTTGGCTTTCACAAATGACAACAGAAGGACCTTTTCATATTTGTAAATTCTCACTAAACTAACCACCTAGTATGTTTTAACCATTGTCCTGAGTGATTTACAGTTTCAGTTTATTTTAACCTTACCACATCACCATAGAGGAGGTTCCATTATTGTCCACATTTTACAGAATAGGGAAGTGTCACAGAGTGCTTTAGCCTGCCTGAAGTCACACAGCTAAGTGCAGAGCCAGCATTCAAACCCAGGCATTCTGGAATCTGTATAATGCTCAACAGCTCCATCTGTTCTTTAACACCTAGCTCAAATATTTGTAACCCTACAAACCTTTCCCTGACTACTCTCCACGCCCTCAGAGTTAACACGCTGTGTTCTTTTGTCCTATTTCCTAACATTCTAGACTTGGAGTTTTATGAACAGATTGCTTTATTATTTTCCACTTAAACTATTATTTGGGTCAAAATTTGTAGAAGTAAGTACAGTTGACTCTTGAACAATATCAGGAGTTAGAGACACCAACTTGACCCCCAGCCACCCCACTCCCACACAGTCAAAAATCTGCATGGAACTTTTGACTACACAGAAAATTTAACTAATAGCATACTATTGACCAGAAGCCTTACTGATAACATAGTTGATTAACACATATTTTGTGTTGTGTGTTATATACTATATTCTTACAGTAAAATAAGCTAGAGAAAAGAAAATTACTAAGCAAATCATAAGAGGAAACATTTATTATTCATGAAGTGAGAGTGGATCATCAGAAAGATCTTATTCTTCATTATCTTCACATTGAATAGGCTGAGGGAGAGGAGGAGCTGGTCTTGTTGTTTTAGGTAGAAGAAAACCCATGTGAAAATGGACCTGCACAGTTCAAACCTGTGTTGTTCAAGGGCCAACTGTACTATTCTGTGCTGAGTTAGGAGACCTATTGATAGATACAAAAGTAGCTAAGAAGCTACTTAAAAAATAAAAATAAAAGGAAAACAGAAGAAACGCTTATACAAAAAACATTTGAAAGCACCTACAAAGTGATCTTAGTATGTATTTGCTAGTTAGAAAGCTGACATTTGATGATCTCATTCTTAGAGCCCATCAGTTGATATCTGTTATCAACTAATGAGTTTTAAATGTTCCAAGAGAATAATTGGCTGAGTGTATGCTAGTTAAATAGTATAAAGCATGTGAAATGAGTCTCACCTTAGGTCACCATTTTGAGAAAATTTCTATACTTATTGTTTACATTTAGAAGAGGAAAAATTATTTCCATTTTTAATGTTAGTGTTCATTATAGTTTGCCATTTCAATTCAGTGAGTATATACCTCTTGTAAGGGATGGACATAAGAAAAATGACTACACAATACTGCCCTCGGGGGACTCACCTGAATCTAACGTGTGTGACGATAGATACTTGCACAATTTGCAATAAAAGACAATTCATAAGTATTGCTGGAGAAATAGGACTAATTCAGCCCAAAGGACAGAAGGCTGTATCAGCTGTTAAGAATGAATAGATTATAAAAGTTGAAAGGTTTTATTTTCGTAATGATAGCTTGACATACAATCATCAAATGTCATATTTCTTTAAGATTATTTGTTTGGGAAATCTTGCACTCTACAATTCGTAAGATGAACAAACATGTCTTGAAGATCCAGAAAGAGCTAGAAGAAGCTAAAGAGAAACTTGCAAGGCAACACAAACGGGTAAGTTTGTGTCAACTCGTAAATAGTTAAAGAAAATATACCAGAAACTCTGGAGAGGATTCAGAGTTCATTATCTTGATGGTATTTCATTTTTTCTGAGCCCAAATTATGCAGAGCTGTTTGCAGAAGCAGAGGAGGAGGAGGGAGCAGGTAGTGTCTTGTGTGCTTTTACCCTGCATAATGACCAGTTCAGGAAGCCACAAACTACTTTCCTTCATTCGCCATCTCTGGGTCAGCCTTGTGTTTGTACAAGGGAAGTAGCAGAAGGGAAGAGAATGCTTGTATTTTTGTAGAAGTCTCTGGGGGAAGAGGGAGAAGACTATAGATACTTATACTTTCCCCATACTATGAGGAGGAATGGGATGGTCAATCCCAAGTTAACAGAATGCTTCTCATAGTATTAAGTTTAGTATTTTAGCCATCTTGGAGGGAAGCGGTGAGCTGGCTGCGTTCTGTGACTTAAGATGTTACTACTGTTCTTTATGACAGTATTTTCTATTGTTATGCATATTTATCAAAGTAGAAGGTGAAAAAATAAAAGCTGGGTTTGATGCCTCACAGAAACCTTTAGCAAGTTTGAGTACTAGTCTCCACATAGACACACATGTATACATATATGGATATAAACACTCACAGACCTAAAATACTGTAAGTTAAATGATGTCATCCCATTTTGTAGATGTATAAAGTGAGACACAGGGAAGTTGAGTAACATAGCTAGTAGGTTGCATAGCTAATGACTGAGCTAGGTTCTGACCCAGGTCTGTCAGACTCCAGAGACTTTCTCTCATGCCACACTGTTTCAGAAATGTGCTGTCCAACCCAGTAGCCACTAGCTGCATGTGACCGTTTTAGTTTAATTAAAATTAAATAGTTTAAAATTCAGTTTTTTGGTCACACAACCACATTTCAGGTGCTACGTAGTAACATGCGGTGGCTCTTGTAAGAGGCTGTACATATTTATAAAACGTTTGCCCTGTTGAAGAAAGGTCTGTTAGGTAGTAGTACTCTAGAACCTTACCTCAGAGTGGTCTTAGGAAAAGACAGTCATGTACCCAAGTGTCTAGAACGTAAAGCAGACCTCATAAGCAGGGGCTGAGTTTATAGAGAGAAGAGCAAGATTCTATGACATCTGAGAGTGGGGTTCTGATCATTTTGCTTAAAGCATAGAGGAGACCAGTAGGTGGGCCCGTAACGGTATCACCTCAAAGAATTTCCCGGCTTTCTAGATTCAGTGATGCCACCTTCTTGTTGAAAGTAACTTGGTATGTAACACCGAGAGCCCTGTTCTGGCTCTGCCACTTTCAGGCTGGGTGATACTGGGAAAGTCATCTAACCTCTCAGCCTGTTCCCTTCTCTGTAAAATGGAAGTAAACCATGGCTTGTTTTTCTTTTCCTTTAAAAAAAAAAAAATCAAAATGCTGTAAAGTCTTCAGAGTGAGCTAGGAGAGAATTATTAAAGCTTTACAGGAGTATATTGAACCCATGATTGCCAGCAGAAAGTCTTAAACAGCCACTTTGAATTATTGTATGTCATTTCTAAACTATGTAGCTATTTCTAAATTATGACCAGAATGAGCAGCCTTGGTGCATAGGACTGGCCCAGTTTTTTTATATGGCCCATTAGGAGATGAATGATAAGCAAGCTGCCTCTTTGTTGTTACTACTCAAACGGCCAAATAGTGATAAATTAGAGCCAAGTCCCCCACATTGTTACCAAGAAAAGTGCCACAAAATTTCCCTGGCCTAGATAAGAACCCATGGAATTTGAGTGAGAAGATAGTATCTCTGAACCACAACAGGACTTTGAGGTATATATGTGTGGGTGGTGGAGTGGGGGATACTTTTACTACAGAAAAGCCTTTAACATTTGGCCAGCCACAATAAAATCCTTCCCCTGGAGGGGATTTCATACACTGGAATTCTAAATGGTATTTTCCTTTTGTTCCCTTGCCTTCTGTAGCGAAGTGATGATGATGACAGAAGCAGTGATAGGAAAGATGGGGCTCTTGAGGAACAAATAGAAAGACTTCAGGAAAAAGTGGAATCTGCTCAGAGTGAACAAAAGAATCTCTTCCTTGTCATATTTCAGGTATCTTGGCTTGGGACATTTATACATAAAAAGAAACAATGCATTTTTTTAGTTTTTAAAAATACTATTTTTAATTATAAAAGGAATACACACTCATTTATAGAAGAGATTAAAAATATAAAAATTTGGAAGTAAATAAAAGTTCACTACTCAGGCAACTATGTATGTCTCTGAGTTTCTCAGCTGTTTACATTCTTGCATGAGCATTTCTTCATGCTTTAAAACAAAATTGTGGGTTGCTGTTGTTAAATACATCTCATTTAATTATTCTCTTTGCTGATCATTTTTTTTCCATGAACATTTTGATACATAGATTCCTGTTAACATTTCTGATTATTTTGTTAGAATAGATGTCAGGAAGTAATATTACTAGGATAAGTAATTTAAGACATTAAAGGTCTTTATGTATTGCTAGGAACTATGTACCAACTCATGTTATTACCAGTCTGCCTTAGGTTGACTTAATGAATAATGAAAGTTAGGAGCACACACCACAAAGACAGGGTGGAACAAGCAGTAGTTTGGAGTTTCTTTGTCATGAATTTTTTTCCAAAGATTCTATCTCTAGTACTACCTTAACTTCCTTCTCCCTTTCCAGCGGTTTATCATGATCTTGACTGAGCACTTAGTACGATGCGAAACTGATGGGACCAGTGTATTAACACCATGGTATAAGAACTGTATAGAGAGGCTGCAGCAGATCTTCCTACAGGTACATGGAGAACTTCAATTAGATAATAAACAGCACTATTCACAGCCACAAAGATTTTTGATTTAAAACCAATCCTTGTCAAATTTGTGAGGAGGTTTCATAGTACCTACCTGTTAGACCCTTTAGTTCATGTCCATTTGCTGCTACCATTGCTCATCAGAATATTTAGGCTTAAACTGATTCTATACCACTTAGATTCCTAATGCCCCTCCCCCACTCGCTTTTTTTTTTTTAAGATTGAGTCTCTGTTGCCCAGACTAGAGTGCAGTGACACAATCTCAGGTCACTGCAACCTCCACCTCCCTGGTTTAAGCAGTTCTCCTGATTCAGCTTCCCATATTGTTGGGATTACAGGCACCTATCACTACTCCTAATTTTTGTATTTTTAGTAGGAACAGAGTTTCACCATGTTGGCCAGGCTGGTCTTAAACTCCTGACCTCAGGTGATCTGCCTCGGCCTCCCAAAGTGCTGCTGGGATTATAGGCATGAGCCACAGCGCCCAGTCTCCTACTTGCCATTTTCTATTCTAGGGATTCTAGCTATAATATAAAATGTAGAGGACAAAAATGTCAAGAGGACAGTCATTGGATTTATAAGTCCCTAAAAATCCAGTGTTCAGATGATAAACAGTGTCCACAGAATCAAGGTAAGCTCCCTAGGGTCTCTCTGCAGAAGCAACCTATTCTCACCCAGATTTAAGTTAAAGATATATAGGAAAGTGGAACTAATTGTGTCTTCAGACACTACTCCCTTACGTCTTCATTTGTTCATTCTAGGAGAATGATTAATGTAGAATTCATTTTTTAAATTTATTTTTTATTATACTTTAAGTTCTGGGGTACACGTGCAGAATGTGCAGGTTTATTACATAGGTATACATGTGCCATGGTGGTTTGCTGCATCTGTCACCCTGTCATCTACATTAGGTATTTGTCCTAATACTATCCCTTCCCCCCTTTTTTTTAAGTTCAATTCTTTGAGCTTCCAAATAGGAATTCCCTATTTTTTATTTATTTATTTAGGAATTCCTGATTTTATATTACTGCCAATTTTGGGGGTTTTTGTTTGAGATAGATTTTTTCTCTTGTTGCCCAGGCTGTAGTGCAATGGTGCAGTCTTGGCTCACTGCAACCTCCACCTCATGGGTTCAAGTGATTCTCCTGCCTCAGCCTCCCAAGTAGCTGGGATAACAGTTATTACAGGCCTGCACCACCACACCCAACTAATTTTGTATTTTTAGTAGAGACGGGGTTTCTCCATGTTGGTCAGGCTGGTCTCGAACTCCTGACCTCAGGTGATCCACCTGCCTCGGTCTCCCAAAGTGCTGGGATTATAGGCGTGAGCCACTGCACCTGGCCAGTTACTGCCAGTTTTAAAAGCTTTCCCAGTGTCTAGTCCTGTAAGAATTTGAGTATATTAATGGCTTATAGAGGAACACACAGAGTATTTCAGGCCGGATACTTTTGCTCACGCCTATAACCTCAGCACTGACCAACATGGTGAAACCTTGTCTGTACAAAAAATACAAAAATTAGCCAGGCATGGTGGTGGGCACCTGTAATCCCAATTACTCGGGAGGCTGAGGCAGGAGAATCACTTGAACTCAGGAGGTGGAGGTTGTGGTTAGCAGAGATTGTGTCACAGCACTCCAGCCTGGGCAACAGAGCAAGACTGAGCAAGACTGTTTCAAAAAAAAAATTAAATAAATGAATAAAGAGTATTTCATTTTCTGGCTCTTTTTATCTTCCTGTCAGTCGCTGTCTGGCTGCTTTTTAAAAAGTCATAATGTATTATGTCCTGATTGGAGGGAGAGCCAGCTGAGCCTAGTCTGCAATAGTACTAGCAGCAAGCAGGCATTCGCTACCACTGTTACATGGCAGACTAGGCTCAGCTGGCTCTCTCCCCAATCAGGACATTCATTGAATCATGAATTCTGTTTACATAGAAGTTGGTAACAATTGGATTTTTTTTTTTTGAGACAGAGTCTCATACTGTTGCCTGGGCTGGAATGCAGTGGTGCGATCTCTACTCAGCGATTTTCCTGCCTCAGCCTCCTGAGTAGCTGAGAACTGGATTTTAAAAAATCTATTGAGCATCTATTTTTTTGCATTTCCTTTTTTTTTTTTTTTTTTTAAATAACATAAAATAAAAAGGGAAATGCAAACAATTGGGGATTTTCAGGAGTCCATTATTCCTGTCAGCACTTTTTTTTCCCCCCTGTCTCTTCTCATCATGCTGCAGCATGGGTTGGCTGCTGAAAGAAGTGTTCAACTAGATAGCTTACATGCTTTTTCCTGACCTAACTGACCCCCTTTTCTGTGTCCACAGCATCACCAGATAATCCAGCAGTACATGGTGACCCTGGAGAACCTTCTCTTCACTGCTGAATTAGACCCTCATATCTTGGCTGTGTTCCAGCAGTTCTGTGCCCTGCAGGCCTAAGGGTCATTTTTCCCCTCGTTCAAGATTTTTTTTTTTAATATCTCAAAATAATTTCTTATTTTTTGATGGTTTGAATGCTTGCTTTCTTGTAGTATCCTTTCACTTCTTAAAGGAAACAAAGGAAAAGAGGGCAGTGAATAACATGGCATTACTTTTAATTGCCCTGAAAAGCAAATACTTCCTATGACAGTAATGTGATGATGACCATGATGTATTCTATATGTGACAGATATGACTTTTCTGTGATCGGTTTGGTATTTTTTTCTTAAGGCACAAAATAACTGGTGTGAGGTATGTGAAACAGTAGAGGTCAACCTTACATAGTATATAGAACTGATGAGTTTACCCAGTAGTATAACTTTTCACAGCTCGGGGATAACATGGCTGAAATAAAACTAAAAGTATGGTTTTTAAACTTTGGCACTTCATGATTTATAATCTCTAAAACTGGTGGGGGATTTTTTTCTTTTTCTTTTTTTTTTGTCTTAAGCTGGAGGTTTCTTACTGAAGGTGTTCTCCATTTAAAATTTTCTTTACAAAATCTCTTCAAAATATTTTTAAGTAGTATCTTAAGACACGACTTGTGTGTTCGTTTCGGCAGCACATATGCTAAAATTGGAACGATACAGAGATTAGCATGGCCCCTGCGCAAGGATGACATGCAAATTTGTGAAGCGTTCCATATTTAAAAAAAAAAAAAAAAAGACACGGCTTGTTAGTATATGAGTGTTACTAGTTGGAGCAGTAGTTCTCAGATTTGTCTGAATGTAAATCAGCTGGGAATCTTTCAAGTTATTTTGAAATTAAACCACAATCTGAGGGTGGAACACAGACATCCTTAGTAATCCTTAAAGTTCCTCCAGGTGATTCCAGGTTTGGTCACCATTATCTTAGAGCATCTACTGACTTCCTCTAGCCTCTGGGTTTGTCCAAGGTCTTGTAGTGAGTTACTGAATACTAAAGTGGATATAGAAGTGGTCAGATTGACTGAAACTGTATCTGGAATTGAAGGTGAGTTCAGATTTTGTTTCTATGGAAGCTGGTCCAAAAAACTACGAAGACCTTAGCTTGTTTTCCTGTAGTGTTGATGCTGAAATAAGATGAGAGTGGTTTGTAAAATAATATGCAAGTATAAGGAATTATCTAACATTGCAAATTTCTAGTATTATTAGACTTTTTTCATTAAACCTTAGAAAAAAATTACCAGTACAACTACTGGTAGTGTATTTGTGCATTTGCACAAAAGATATAATTTTTTTCTTACTACATCTCAAGTTTATGATGCATTAAGCATTTTCCATATTTTGATATATTTTTGCTTTGGTTTACCATCCATTTTAGTGGCTACAGAATGTAGTCCACTTTAATAAATGGGAATTCCTAGGGTTTTTAAATACTATACTATTTAAGACAAAATACAAAGCAATTATTCAGAAAAATCCAGGTTGCGTGGCAGGTTACTAGAGGACTGAAACTTAGGTTCTTGGCTAAGTATTCTCGTTTATACTGTTTCTCCTTCCCATTGTTTAAGCACAGCACAAACTATGTAATTATATGTAATTACAGTTGACCCTTGAACAACATGGGTTTGAACTGTGTGGGTCCACTTACACATGGGTTTTCTTCCACCCCTGAGATGGCAAGACCAACTCATTGTCTTCCTCAGCCTACTCAACATGAAGATGACGAGGATGAAGACCTTTATGATGATCCACTAATTAAATAGTAAATATATTTTTCTTATTTTCTTTTCTCCAGCTTATTTTATTTATAAGAATATAGCATATAACACACAAAATGAGCTGTTTGTTACTGGTATGTCTCCGGTCAGCAGTAGGTTATTGGTAATTAAGTTTTGGGGGAGTCGAAAGTTATATGCAGATTTTTGACTGGGGGGTGTCGGCATCCCTAACCCCATGTTGTTCAAGGGTCAACTCTAATTTGAAATGACTCCTATCCTCAAAAAACCAAAGGGTAACCTTTAAGGCATTGGTAATTTGAGTATAAACTGCTTTGTAATCTTTTTTCACAATGTACTGAAAAGTGTGGCTAGTTATGTTTGATCCACATTCTAGAGAAATTTGTAGGTTTTAATTTTTTTTCTTGGTCCTCTCTTCATGTATAATGGTTGCTTTTAACAACTATTCGCTGATGTGATCCTGCTCTGTCCCAGCCTAGCAGCTTAAGTGTATAGAAAAACTGAACTAGGAATTGAGTTTTGAAGAAATAAAAGTGTAAGAGCAAACATTCAGCAGTTGCTATCCCCACTAATGTTCACACAGACGAAAGACGGCAGGCATGTCACTGTGTGTCATACCTTGCAATAAGTATTTTGTTAAATTGTACTGATGCAGTTTAACATGCTTTTGTCAAAGTAAACATAACTGTTTTCTTAATTTATAATTATACTTGAAAATGAAAGATGAGGAAGGGGCCTTACCAACCTAGGTAGAGCAGATTTAGCTGTTAGCGATGTATGGATACTAGGATTATCTTAAACTGATAAGGGTAGAGAGTCAATAGAAGCATCCCTTAACTAGACAAATCTATTTTCTGTAATATAGTGGCCTCAATAATATATGCTCATTAACTAGTGGTTACATGATCAAACTCCAAATCAGTGTTTATTTCTGCTATTATTTATCAGGGCTTTTCCCAGCAATTGTTCCCCACTGTTTCTACCATCGTGGAGACAGAAATCGTCCTAAAAAACATGACCAGAACCTGGGTACAGTGGTACACCACCATTTCTATTTGTTTCTTGGTTAAAAGAATCCAGTTCAGCTGGCTATGGCCTTTTTTGAAAGTTTTCCTTGTACCTCAATCTATGGTTTCTTTGTTTGTTTTTGCACTGAGCACCCGGATGGGAGGCTCTTAGGAGAAAACAGAAGGAGGAGGAACCGCGGGATTTATTTTTATTTTTATTAAAGAACGGAAAAAAAGAGAAAGAAAAATGAATGAGGGAGAGAGAACGGGAGTGTTGCTTTATTCTAAAAATGGATATTGAAAACATTTTTTATGCCAATAATTGTGCTCAATAATGGCCAAACAATATTTCATTTAAACCTGTGAGTAGGTGTGATGTGGTACTGATAAGAGTGTATATTCTGTGTATTTAAAGTGGAAAGTTCTATAAATGTTTATTAAGTTTACTTGTTCCGGATCTGAGTTCAAGTCCTGGATATCCTTATTAATTTTCTGTCTCGTTGATCTATCTCGTTGATGTTGGAGTCTCCCACTATTATTGTGTGGGAGTCTAAGTCTCTTTATAGGTCTTATGTATCGGGGTGTTCCTGTATTGGGTGCGTATATATTTAGGATCGTTAGCTCTTCTTGTTGCATTGATCCTTTTACCATTATATCTTTGTTGCTTTAAAATCTATTTTATCAGAGGCAAGAATTGCAACTCCTGCTTTTTATTTATTTATTTTTGCTCTCCATTTGGTCGGTAAATCTTTCTCCATCCCTTAATTGAGTCTTTGTGTATCCTTGCATGTGAGATGGGTCTGGATGCTGCATACCGTTGGGTTTTGGCTGTATCTTTTCATTGGGGGATTTAGTCGATTTAAATTTAGGATTACTACCATGATGTTAACTGGCTGTTTTGCCCATTAGTTGATGTAAATTCTTCATTATGTCGATGCTCTTTACTTTTTGGTATATTTTTGGAAAGGCTAATACTGGTTGCTCCTTTATACGTGTGATGCTTCTTTCAGAAGCTCTTGTAAAGCAGGCCTGGTGGTAATGAAATCTCTTGAGTACTTGCTTGTTTGTAAAAGATTTTATTTTTCCTTTGCTTGTGAAGCTTAGTTTGGCTGGATATGAAATTCTGGGTTGAAAGTTCTTTAAAGGATGTTGAATATTAGCCCCCACTCTCTTCTGGCTTGTAGGGTTTCTGCTGAGAGATCTGCTGTAAGTGTGAGAGGCTTCCCTTTGTGGGTAACCTGACCTTTGTCTCTGGCTGCCCTTAGTATTTTCTCCTTCATTTCAACCCTGGTGAATCAGACGATTATGTGCCTTGGGGTTGCTCTTCTTGAGGAATATCTTTGTGGTGGTCTCTGTATTACCTGGAGTTGAATGAATATTGTCCTCCCTTGCTAGGTTGGGAAAGTTTTCCTGAATGATATCCTGAAGAGCATTTTCCAGCTTGGATTCATTCTCTTTGTCGTATTCAGGTACACCTATCAAACGTAAATTAGGTCTTTTCACATAGTCCCATATTTCTTGGAGACTTTGCTCATTCCTTTCTATCCTTTTTTCTCTATGCTTGTCTTCTCGTTTTATTTTGGTTTTATACGCTTTGTTTTGGTATCTTGTCCTCAAATTTGTAGCTGATGTATCACTTTTGCACCTACTCTAGCACTCAGCTTCCATCCCTGGTTGTAAGAAAACAATCACAGACATGACACTCTGCACACAACCAGGCCAGGTGGACCTTCACTGAAACTTGCTTTTAAGCAGTAACATACATAATTATTACTGAAGCATTACTTATACAAGGGTTTCATTCATCTATGAAGACATTGCATTTTCTTGAATTTTGAACAGAACCAATCTTAATTTTATTTAAATGTATAATTAATTCTATAAAACAGGTCACTGAACTAAAAATCACATTTTTTCATATGTCAGTTCATGGCCACACATAGTACAGGTCTTCCGGTACATGTCGTCTTCTAGGTTTTCCTCTGGTCCATACTCATGTTGATGAACAGTCGTCTCTCTTTTCCACACACTGCTTCTTACTGCTCGCCGCAATTCTAAGAAAAAAAAAATTAAAAAGTCATCTTTTCAGTGGTGCTATTCAGCTGAATCCAAAAATCCATCAAGCTTTCAGCCATGTACGTGTGTGTGTCTACGTGTATTTAAACCATGTGTAGTTTACCTTCATTTTATAACAAATCACAATTGATTATATAAACTTGGCAAGTTTACTTTCTTACCTCACTAGCTTGGTCTATGAATTAAGTTGTCCTTGGAGCAGTGTGAAACGAGATTCAGAATGGTTATGTGGGTTGGAGGTAGGCAAAATAAAACCAAATTCAGAAGTGAGTTGAGTAACAGAATAGGACACATTCAGGTACATTTGACTTCACATAACAGAATGCCACAGTAGAAGAAGGAGTTGAAATAATTTTAAAAAGGAGTATTATTAAGTTCCTGTCAGGAGCTATGTCTATAACCATCAAGTCAAGCTTTGCCTGCAAGAAAACTAGAAAGTAGAGAACTAATCACTATGCTGATGTGTTTTCATCTGAGAAAAGGTGCTTGTGTAACAGACCTCAAATCTATTGAAGTTTTTATAAAATGACAGTATTATTTTAGGAGAGGGCTAAAAATAACAATCACAGGATATTAAGAGTTGGAAAGAACCACAGAGTTTTAATTTTAGTTCAACTGTGAAGCCAGAACACTGGTCATATTCTAATGTTTGGAGCTTTTTCTGCTACTTCGTGTCAAAATCATTTTACAAAGAAAATTATATTGGGTTCTTTGAAAGCAATCAAGTAAATCATATTTTAAAAGTTTACACTGCCAATCCCAGCACTTAGGGAGGCCGAGGCAGGTGGATTGCGAGGTCAAGACCATCCTGGCCAACATGGTGAAACCCTGTCTCTACTAAAATTACAAAAATTAATCGGGGGTTTGGCATGCGCCTGTAGTCCCAGCTACTTGGGAGGCTGAGGTAGAAGAATCGCTTGAACCCAGGAGGCGGAGGTTGCAGTGAGCCGAGACTGCGCCACTGTGCTCCAGCCTGGTGACAGAGCAAGACTCCATCTCAAAAAAAAAAAAAAAAAACAAAAGTTTACACTGCCTATTACCTTAAAAAAACCAAACACTTGGTGCTAATTGAAAATTAACAAGCTAGTAACTTCTTAGTTTCTAGATTAATGAATAAAAAGCAACACTTTACATTTCTGATCTTACCAGTGATCCACCCAGTTCATGATCTTTGACAATGGCATTACCTAAGGGAGAGTATGATAGCTATCTTTTATAATCTCAGCCATAAAAATCAACATATGCCAAATAATCATATTTTCCCTAATCCATTTTAGATCTGTAAGTAGCATCAGAATACTACTTGAATCTTTGTATTTTCAGCTGTTACTAGATCATGAGGATGAAAACAAACACAGGGCTAAGTATAAGGCACTGTTCTTACCACTTTAAATGCATTTAATCCTCACAAACCTTTAAGATAAGTAGAATTATTCCAATTTTACAGATGAGAAAACCAAAGCACAGAGAAGTTATAAGTTGCCCAAGGTTGTTATATGTTGACAGATACCTCTAGCATGATAAGTACTTTGAATTTATTTCAGTGCACATACCTCTAGATAGTTTTTGACCTGGAAGAAAAACAACCAAACTCTTTCATTTCTGTCAGTATCCTCATATTCTGAAGACCTTGGTTTTTCTATATATAGATCTGGAATGCCCTCCTTCCTTTAAATTTTACCTTAGGATATTTTCTAAATAAGAAGTAAATGATATGCTAACCAGAACTCCACAGATGCCTCCTGGTTTCAGATAATGTAAGGAAGATGTTGCCTGCTTGAATTCTAATACCTGCTTTTCAACTTTGTTCTCATGCAAGACATCTTGGCATGATTATCCCACTGAAAATCCTACAAAATTTCACTGCAGCACTATCATGCTAAACTAACTTTTCTGCCTAATTTGAATATATTATGTGTACTTAAAAAGAGGTACCAAAGAAAACTTTTCTGAATACTAAAAAAAATACCTGTAGTCAAAATCAGTCTTTCTAACCGTGATTGAACCCAAGGTTTTACATTGACTTTTACTTTTTCTCCCCATTCTTCAGCTATTGTGTCAGGCTATACTAAGAATAAAGCCATATATTTAATATTTACTAGACATTCCTGGAAAAACTTGTGCCAGAAAGGAAGTATTTGGGGCCAGGTGCAGTGGGTCATGCCTGTAATCCCAGCACTTTGGAGGATCACCTGAGCCCAGAAGTTCAAGACCAGCCAGGGCAACATAGTGAAACCCCATCTCTACAAAAAAAAATTTTTTTTTTTTTTTTTTTTGAGACAGAGTTTCGCTCTTGTTACCCAGGCTGGAGTGCAATGGCGCAACCTCGGCTCACCGCAACCTTCGCCTCCTGAGTTCAGGCAATTCTCCTGCCTCAGCCTCCTGAGTAGCTGGGATTACAGGCACGTGCCACCATGCCCAGCTAATTTTTTTTGCATTTTTAGTAGAGACGGGGTTTCACCATGTTGACCAGGATGGTCAATCTCGTGACCTCGTGATCCACCCGCCTCGGCCTCCCAAAGTGCTGGGATTACAGGCTTAAAAATTTTTTTTAATTAGCCAGCCATAGTGGTATGTGCCTGTAGTCACAGTTACTCAGGAGACTGAAGTAAGAGGATCACTTAAGCCATGGAGGTTGAGACTGCCATTAGCTATGACTGCACCAAGGCACTCCAGCCTAGGTGAAAACTATCTCAAAGGGGGGCGGGGGAACCAGAACAAAAGTATTTAGAAATAGATAGGTTTGGGGTTTTTTCATCCTTCTTTCCCTTTCTGAACAATTTGGTCCTAAAGCCATTAACTGGAGCAAGTAAGCATCCACAGCAGAGTGAGAGAGCCCAAGAAAAAGGGCTCCCTCCAGAAAAGGAAGCAGCAACAGTAATGGGAATCAGTCACAGGGCTTTGATCAAGTCACTATAGTAAGGATCACAGGACCCAGGTTTCTCGTCATCCATAAAACCATGAAATTTCAGATTAGAACTGGATGTATCAGTGTAAACTCAAAGTTTACATATATGTATAGACAGACACAGAAATACAGATACACATGTGTTGTGCTAGAAAGCAGAAAGGAGTGCTGAAGAAATGACCTAAGTCCAGGCATGGTGCCTCACGCCTGTAATCCTAAAACTTTAGGAGGGTGAGGCGGGTACATCACTTCAGGCCAGGAGTTTGAGACCACCAACCTGGCCAATATGGTGAAATCCCATCTCTTGAAAATACAAAAATTAGCTGGGCATGGTGGCATGCACCTATAATCTCAGCTACTTGGTAAACTGAGACAGGAGAATTGCTTGAACCTGGGAGGTGGTGATTGCAGTGAGCTAATTGTGCCACTACACTCTAGCCTGGGTGACAGAGCTTGACTCAGTCTCAAAAGTAAATAAAAAATTTTAATGACATGTCCAAAGATACAAAAGCTAGTTACTAGGCCAAATCAGACCATTTGAGCACCAAAATAAAGACAGAAATGAACCAAAGCCACTGGAGAAAAACAAATTAATAAATCCATATCAATAATAAGTAAATAGGGAAAAGGATGCTATAGAATGCTGACTGCCAGTTGCTTAAATGCAGAAGGAATGCTGGAATTAGAAGACAGTTCTTCTAACCATCATACTAAAGATGTTCTAGCAAGAACCATCAATGGATACGAAATCTAGGAGGATACAATTTCTTTTTGCTTACCAAATCAAAAATCAAGAGTTACCACTGAGGGCTGATAGACATTAATGCCTCCAGATACGAGGCCATGAGAAAAGCACATCACTTATGTACTATCCCTGGCCTGATACGCATACCCTGCATCTAATCAGCAGGACACACCAGACACTGCCCCAAGTGACAAGCATGTTTTAAAAGGCAGGGCAGTGGAACCAGACTTTTCAAAAATGTCAATGTCATAAAAAGAAATAAGGGCTATGTAAATATCCTGGAATAAAAGTTTAGAAAGACTTGGTACCTAAAGCCAATACACCCAATCCTATACTGAATTCTGTTCTAGAAAGGAATCACTAAAAAGAACATTAGGTCAACTAACAAAACTAGAATATGGAGGACAGATTAGACATAAACACTAAATGTTAAATTTACTCAAGTTAACAATATACTTTGGTTATGTAACAGAACATATCCCTATGAGGAAATATATACTAATATTTATGGGTAAAGGGTAGTGATATAAACAACTTAGTCTTAAATGGTCAGAAAAAAATAAATACTGTGTATGTATAGAAAGAGCATCCAAATGATGCAAATAGCATCAAGTGTTAACAGTAGGTAATCTGGATAAAGGATATATAAGTGGCCCTTTATATTATTATCCTTGCAATTTTTTATAAGTTTGAAATTATTTCCAAACAAAATAGTTTAAAAAGATAGGCGCTAGCTTGAAGGGGAGTCTACTGGCCACATTTTGGACAATTTGAACACCAAAATGAGTAATGACCAGAATGAACTGTAATACACTGACTTCAGAATAAGAAACCATGAGTCCAGCTGATGCTTAAAAAAATAAAAATCTGTTTTTAAAAGGAGAAGAAAAACTTCTTTCCAAAAGCCAAATAACAATTGTAGAAAGTGACAGAAATAGAAAATCACCATTTATATCCACCAGAATAATAACCAACTCAAGTAAGACTGAGCCCTGTGTACTAAAACCACTGAGTGAAACGTAAGGAACGAGATATTCACATAGTATTAGATTTCTCACTAATTACAAAGGATAAAGAGTACCTCTACAGTGGAAAACCTGGCAGACACCACCTTACCTAAGCAAACTACCACTCCCTTCAAAGAGCTGGTACATGTGTCTTGATAAGTGCTCAAACACATCACCTTTAAAGTATTCCCACCAAAAACATTCAACATGAGCCTAACCATGAAGATACAAGCAGCTAACAAATCTAAATGGAAGGACACACTGAACAGCAGCTGGCCTGGGCACTGCAAAATGTCATGAAAGACAAAATGAGGGACT